TCCTAATACAGTTTGTTCATCCACCGACCGACCGCCTTTCCCCACGCCCCCTGATTTGGAGTCCAGGGGGCAGACAGGAGGCCTAACCCGGATCCGGAACCGGAGCATCCTTTGCCAGGTCAAACTAATAAACTTTCCTTTCTTTTTTCCTGGTTTTCCTTCGGCCCACAGAAACCTCATCTCGTCTGGGCGCCTTTGTCTTCGGGTCTCTTTGGCTCCCCTTGCCACGGACATATAATTGCTGTTTAAAAGCCTCGTGGGGCAAAACGGTTGGATGGGGGGCAAGTGCAAATGCAGCTACCAACTTCAAGTCGGGCATTTTTGTGAATTATTTTCCCATTATGAGCAGATTAAGTTTATTGTGTGCGGCCATTGGCAGAGCCGAGTAAAAGTCTTGGCAACGCGGGGGATTTTCCCTCTGCTCTGACTTGGGGTTGTGCAAAATCAACCCGACATCTTGGCAGGAGCTCTGGAAAATTCACTTCAACACACACACACAGACACAGGGAAAAACACACACACAGAGACGGAGCATTGTTTCGAGGTCCTTGGAAGCTCTGGCTGAATTGAAAAGGAGGACAAAAAGGGGAGAAGGTTGAGGCGGTCGGTAAACGGAGGAAAAGTATTTTAACGCGGTCTGAATTTCAAAAGTTTGCCAAGGTAGAACCGCTCGAGGCACCTGAGAGAGAGCTGGGGTATCACTTGAAATTCCCAGCGATTCCCTTTGAAGCATTTCGTTTGTATGCAAAATGTTGTTTCATAATTTTCATTCTGTTTTCTTAAACGTGTAAATTAGAAAATACCTTAGAAAAGGAAAGGAAAGGCGAACTGCTTGTATGGTGGGGGTGAGCAACAAGATATTTTACACACATTAATTAGAATATCAATGGAGCATTTCGGCTCTTGTCTTTTGTCTCCTCCGAAAGTACAGGAAACGTCACCTTGTCGAGGGAGTTTTCGGGGACGAAGGACGCAGGGCGCAGGACGCAGGACTCGAACGGGACAGAACAGACAAATAAATCACGGAGCAAACGCCACACAGACTGACATGACCGGACCAACCTACCAGCCATCCACTCAAATGGAAATGGAAATCCAGCGAAAACGGAGGAGGAAAGCGGAAAGGAAACCAACCAGATGCACATGCAACCGCAGGCAGCTCGAAATGAACCCCAAGCGGGGAAAAGCGGGGAGGGGGGGAAAGGCGGGTAGGCGGAGGGGAAATCGAGGAATACGGATTGCGGGCAGGAAAATGATGTATGGATTTTTTAACGCCGCTGATTGTCTGCGCAATCGCCGGAGCCACTAGGAACCACATGGAGCCGCAATCGCATCGCTCGAGCATCGAACAGTAGCCCTTGTTTTTCGGTAGGAACCAAAGGAGGACTCCGCTGCCAAAACCCAGTGCCTCCAACCTCCAAACTCCAGCACTCCGTAATCAGCGCCGCATGTGGGGAGCATTGGACGGATTGAACCCAAGAGCGGACCCAACAACATGTGCTCGAAATGTGTTGATTCCACGTTAATTATAAAAATTGATTTCTGCCCTCATGCAAACCAACCGATATCTGCACTGCTTTATCATTCGATTTGCGATGGCTCTCTGCCCAATTAATTTCTGTAGTTAAAGTAGAGATAAGTTAGTAGTTTTCCAAATTGTTCAATCTTTATCTTTTTTCTTTTAAATCCTAAATAAAAAACAGTATTATAAAATGTATAAGTAACCTTTTGCAGGTGAGTTTGTTCTCTTTGAAATGCTGGTATAACAAAGCAGTCCAACTAATATCTGCACTTAATCAGAATTGTTCGGGTTTGGGATGCGGTAATTAAATAGTTTTCTAACTTTCACACTCCACATGCACAGCTGCAATCCTGAAAGAAAAAGTAATATTACTACTTTAGTGGCTTTTGGCATGTGCATATGTTATATTGTAAAAATATAAATAACGAAATATTTACAGATTGAATTCTTGCCGGTAAATGTAGTAGCTAGTTAAAAAAAAAAGTTTATAGCGCTCACCTTTCATTTTAAATGGATCCCCACAGATAACAAATTTACTAATCTGTACAATATAAGAAACCCGTAAAAAGCTAGGGCAAATAAGGGCAAATACCTTAATCAAATATATCTTATATTTAAAACATAATTTTCCTCCCCGTTTTTTGCTTTTTTATGTTTAAACTAACTTCCGCTGATATTTGACGAACCTCATATGATTTTGAAAACCTTTTATACATTTAAATTTTTTTTTTTTTTTCACAATGCTTTGTAACCTCAATAGCTCTCTTTTAGCCGTAACCCCCACTCCGTTCAGCAATTAGCAGCCAATACGGTTTGACCAAATTTACGAGCTGCACTCGGGATGCCGCCGTACGTGACGCAGAGGCTCTTCCATCCATCCAACCATCCATCCGTCCATCCACTCATCCATCCTTGCTCCACTCTCCGGAGGTGGCAGAGGTATTCTCCCCAAAGACGCTGGGAAAATGTATTTATTTATATTTTGCGGCCAGTCACGCACATTCGCTGGCCATAAAGTGTCGTCGAGTCGAGTCGAGTCAAAGTTCCCCAATCGATGGGCTCCTCTCCTCCAAAAATATCCACGTGCCACACTTCGCCCCCGTGGCAGCTCTTTTATTATTGTTTTCCCATCTTATTTATTATCCAACTTTGGTTGCGCGCCTTTTGTTAACATAATTTAACCGAATACCGAATTGGAACATTTGTCGGCCTCCGATTCTTGTTTATCTGGGGTGAAATTAATTTCCATTTAATGTGGCAAACGGTCTTGTTGACACTTGGTCCCAATAACCTATGGGGAGATGGGGAAATGATTTTTCCGGAGATGCAACTGTTGAGGTAACAGTGAAGAGATATGACGGGGCTGTCTAAACAGAGCAGTTCTCTTCAGGAAATAGCTTTCCTTTTCGTATATATACGAAAATAACCAATAATAAAATTGTTGGTCAACAATTCAAAATTTTAAACCTAAAATAATAAAATAAGTGTTGGTAAAGTAACTAAATTTGTGTGGAGGGATTTATCTTTATTATTTCATTTTATCCAGTATTTTAAAGTGCAAAAAAATAAACATTTTTCCTCAATGAATAATGTGAGATTCTTATGGCTTTCATTAAAATTAATCAGCACTAAACTTTTCGACAGCAAGTCTTAACTTTTAAATATCTGGTTTAGCGATGACTAAGATAACTAAATTTATCTAGGTTAAAAATATGAGACAGTCCTTGTTTAAACTTAAATTCAATTTGCGTTTAAAGTCTTATAAATAAGACAAGATTTGACAAGTTAAGGCGTTCGATTTGTAAACTATAAGTCAAGAATATTGTTCGCATTAAACTTGTAATTACTATTGTAATTGTAATAGAGTATTATATTTTCCTGCTACTCTGCATATTCAATACAAATTTAGAGAAGTTTCATAGGTTGTATTTCGAATCGTTTCCTATTTGCAATCTGCTAGATAAATAACCGTTGCTTATCCCTCAGATCGGCACATAACTAAACTCATTAACACACAATGCGGCTATAAACAACAACAAATGCTACCAGTCTTACCAAAGTCCGACCAAAGTCAAAAGTTGGGAAAGGAAGGAAGGAAGTAGAGCCGCCAAAAACGGAACCATCTGTCTTTGAAGCGAAACTTGAGTGACAACGCCGGCAAAAACAATGTCCACCAGCAAAAAAAAAAAAAAAAAGAAAAGGAGGCCAAGAAGAAAAAAGGTGAATTGAATGAGTTGCGGAGGGAAGTTATTAAAAAGCGATAAACCCAGAGCAAAACGCATTTGGCGAATTGTTGAACACCTTGTGGAGAGGTTCCCTTTCCTCCTCTTCTTCTTCTTCTTCTTCTCTTCCAGGGGAATTATGGAATTCTTATGCTAAAATAATGGACCCGCAACCGGCTCCAGAAGTCAGAAGCCACCACGTTAGTGGTTCATCGATCAGTAATAAATTTGTTGCGTACACCGGGGGTACAAACTAAACTAAAAAAAAAAAAAGAAAGAAAAAGATAAATAAATAAAAAGAATATGGAGCGGGAGCATGTCGCGCGTTTGTTTTATTTCTTTAATTCATGAGCAGGAGATCGCGTTTGGCCAACTGTTCATGGTCCGCTGATCGAAGGTGAGGTGCGTTGGCCAACTGTGCGTTAAGTCATTGAAAGTCAATAATATGGACTGCGCCTCCCCCCTCTCCCACACTCCTCCTACTTTCATTGTGTAGTGAATAAAAAGCACTAAGAGTATCCCGTCCATCCGGTTGAAAAACGAAGAGTGGAGTCACAGTTCCCGAAGTCGAAGCCAAAAGTCACGGTTGCAGTTGCAACCGCAGAAGTCACAGGAGCCCGGCGTCTTATTTATGACTTGTGCCACCACTTGGCTACTATCTGAGATTTGTGTTTTCATTAATTATGCAAGATTCCTCCGGGGATTTCATTTCGTTTCGTTCTGTTTTTGTTTTGTTTTGATTCGGGTTGGGTTTTGGGCTGGGATCGCCTGTTTTCGGGATGATAAATAGCTTGAGATTAATAAGGCGCCTGGCTAAATGGCGTGGAAAGCATTCAGAGCCGACGATTATGAAATTTGGCTGCTTATCTGATTGTCTCTCTGGGCTTAATCGGAATGAAATCATTAGCAGGGCAATATACAACTAATTAAAGCTTTTTAAAACTCAAATGTGAACTCATCTTACCTTTTGCCTCCTTCTTGAAACCTTAGAAATACTCAAACTCATTTCATTGATTGTATTCAAATTGTTTTCGTTTTATTTTATTTATCTTTTTTTGTTTGGGTTTTGCTTTGCGTCTCATTTTTTTCAATTTGATTCTTGTTATCCTAGTTTGTTGAAATTTGCAAAAATCGAAGTTTAAACAAAATAAATTCTAACTTTGTTGTTGCTTTAAGTGTGTGTCAAAGTTTGCGTTAACTATACAAGAAATGTCGATTATTAAACGTTACCAACGCTGATTACGAATACCAATATATAATATATTTATGTGTATATTTATATATATAGTGTGTATATATTCATTATTGTATGTGTCTAAATTGCTGATATGGGATGCTAAACTTACAAAATCAAATTACGCTGAAAAAATGGTCTCGAATGCGCGATAATCATTTCTGTTTACAAGGTGTTTTAAGCTTACGAATTATATTTAAACGTTAAACATTATGGTAAATTAAATTAAATTTCAAAATCCTTTGCGTTTGTTATTGTTTTGCTCACACAGAAACACAGACTGCAGTTTTGCTTAAGAAGCGGTTTCAAAAGCCCGACCGAAAGTCGAGCTGTGTATACGAGGCTTCCGAGAGTTTCGATCCGGGTTGTCCCTGGATCCTCCAAGTCAGGGTTTATACATCCGCCGAAGGCGCTCCTCCTGGCTCTCCATCGCCACGTGATGCTTAGAACCAGTACAGATCCTTCGACGACTCCTGCACCTGCGCCACTTGCGCTTCTAGACCTGAAGAACAGAATAAAAAATCATATTTTAAGATGGGTAATTGGTTTTCGTTATGATTTATGACTAAAAGTTTGGCTTTAAAATTTTCTAGTTGTTAGAAGTCACGATTAATTAATTTATTTATTAAATTTTTCGCTTGTAAGTAATTAATTAACTGCAAGATTTTCTTTTATAGTTAACCAATTCGTTTTAAAACAGAGGTTGCAAACTTTTACTAACAGTAAAACACATAAAATATATTTTACATAAAAAGTTATATTGTCTGCTTTACTTTGCATCTAAAATGCATAAGTCAAAAAAGCTTAACACATATTTTAGGCTGTTAGTTCTAAAACCATATTTAGGTTACCTAAATAGATATATGTATTGAAAGCAATCTTATAAGACAACATCGAAGAGAAAGAATTGGTATGGAAGTTATATCAAATTAAAGCCAACTGTTTCTGTTGAGTTTATATGTTATGTTATTAGTACTGAGTTTATATTTTAAATCTGTAAATTTTTATAATATTTGTAATAAAGTAGTTCCTGAAAACTTATTGAGTAATCTTAAATACTCATGCAGTAGTTCTGCTGAGCCCGAATAGATATACAGAAATATTTATGAGTGTAACCCACATAAAATTCGAGTGTTGAAAGTACAACCTCATTGGCATATCTTTAAAGCAGTAATAGTAACTCCTCCAATTTGGATATCTTAAATATAGTAATAGCAACTCATATGGTAGACTCACCTGCCATTGTGGGGTAGCTGGAGTACTCGAGGGCGTGGGCCGTCTGCTGGTCGTGGTGCAGCCTGCGAAACGAAATAGAAAACCCGAGAGAGGTCATGACCTGATCAAAGGAGAGGACATCCCCCAACGGAGTAAGGAGTGCAGGACTCACCTGGAGCCGTGGCTGGCGTACTGCTGGGGCAGCCTGAGTAGACTGCCGTACTGGGCCATGTTGTGGTGGTAGGCGTGGGCGTGGGCGGCGTGCGCATGCGCGGCGTGGGCGTAGGAACCATAGTGAGCGGCGGCCGCGTGCGGCACCCACGGATCGGTGGCGTAGCCAGTGTCCGTCGCCGTGCCATACAAGTCGCTAACCTGCAGAGATACGAGCAGATATCCCATCGGATTACAACTTATTTACCATAGGACTGAACAGGAGGAGTAGCTGCCGCAGAATCGGAGGCTCCTTGAAGTCGTAATTGCGGCACGTATTGCCGGTAATCGGCTTCTGGCCATTCACATTGTTATTGGTTATGGGCTGTTGGGCTGTTGGCTTACCTGGTGATGTGTGGGCGCGGGTATGGGGTGCACGTAATTGCTGTTCCAGAACGACGGTGGGAAATTGCGATTCGACATCGGGCTGCTGCTCTCTGCAACACAAAATGGGGAATAGCTTCAGGTTATTGTCTACACAAAACGATAATGCTGCACGGCTTATTGTTTAATCGTGCTCAAATTACTGAGACAATCTAGGGAGCAAAGCGTAAGGAATTTAGGGGTTTTTGTTATTAATAATATAAATAATACAAAGATTATTAGACCGGAAAAATATTCAAGCTTTTAGTTCTTATAAGTGCAATGAAATGAAAAAAAGTTAATAATCTGTTATGTATATATTTTAAGGAAATTGTATCAACAAATTGTAGAAGAACTTAATCTTCAATTCTAAGCAAACGGTTAAATTAGAAAAATACCATTAATGTGAAAGTTTTTAATGCATTAAGAATATAGGCACAAGTTCACTTTAAAATATAATTAACATATTTATATAGTTTTAATCTGGATCAATAGTTCTTACCACCTAAGTTAAATACGATTAGAATTTATTATAATTTTAAAACCGTACACAAATCTAATCTATTATTGAAGTTTATACCACAAATTTCAGTTTTACTTTATATTTAAGAAATACCAGCTACCCAGACTTATTTGTAAACAAGGCGTCTAGTTAAAGACTATCCCTGCGACTAAGCACTCGCGAATATCTCGAAAGTAATCGCCTGAGAAGAAGGAGGTGTTATGCCTTCGCCTCTAGGGGCAATTTCAATTCACTTGCGGCGATGATTAACTGGCAACCCGAGACATACGAGTCTTGGGGGGATTCGGCTGGGTCTTTCGGCCTGGGTTTCGGGATTGGTTAGGGACTCTCCTTGGATCCCCAGCTCACAGCCAGAATCACCATCTCCATCTCCATCTGCGCCTCGGTGGCGGCGCCATGGCCTGTTGCAAATAACTGAGCGGAATGTTTTCGGTTTGTCGTCCGTGCCTCGTTGTCGCGCACTTCTGTTCAGGATCATCACTTGTATTAAATGGTTGTAAATCTACGCGTTTATGAAATCGCGCAACGCCGCCATCCGCCAGCCGCCAAGAGGAGCCACGGAGACATCTCCATTATGTGTAATGGAGCTCCCTTTTTCCACTCAGGAGACCAGGAGACTGCCGCGGCCCCAAAAATAGCAACTGCAATTGAGCGGCTGGCTGGAGAGATACCAAAAACTTGCATAGGCTTGCATTTGCGTTGACAACATTCCAAACTCGATTCGAGAGAAAAATATACAACAACTGGAGGAGGTTTCCGACGAGGATGAGGTTGAAGCTGGAGGATGTGCTTGTACTTGTGGATGTGGGGATATGTGGATGTGGATGTGGGGATGTGTAATGTTTGTGCTTGGCTGCCGTCGCGATTCGACAACTTTGGCCGGCACGTTGGCGAGTGTGCCATGAATGCTGATGACGATGATGACGATTCGGCTGGGATACTCAGATACCCAGATACTGAGATGCTCAGATACTCAGATACTGGATGCGGGATGCTGGATGCTGGATGCTGTTTGGCGGATACTGAATACGGGATGCCATGCCGCGTGCCTTTTTTTCTCCCAACTCGTCCCGGACAGAAGTCGTCATCATCCCATCGCCATCGCCATCGCCATTCACTCACTCGCTCAGCTGAGGCCGTGGAATTCCCATTAATGTGCAAACAAGCAGACTGCCGAAGATATTTGCTCCCCGGCTCCTTCAGTTAGCATTTCACTTTCCGCCGCGGGCTTCAAAAGCGAAAGCCGCTCTACCTGTCCCCCGCCACCTTTCACCTTTTGGCCTAATGAAGAGAGCGTGGCGATTGGTGACCCGATAAGGTTCGATCGCCAACGTTGACAGATAGTCTGTTCTTGCACAGAAAATAAATACTATATAGCCCAAGGTGGTCTTTCATAGTTTAAGTTCAAAGTGAACAAAATTATTGGTTTTAAAAAAAACTATAACTATAAATATATGTAGTTAAAGAATCATAAACAAGACAACCATTATTTGTATTCAAAATTATTTATACTGATAACATTTTCAATAAAGAGAACTTTTCCATATCAAATACTAAATACTGATACCATCTGGTCAAAAGAAGAAAAGTTCGTGGGTTAAAAATCATATTGAAGTGAAACATATATATAATGATTAAATCAAAACTGACTTGAGTCCAAAGTGTTTTCAATGGGTAGAAAATACTTAAAAATAAAATGGAGGCATTTATATTATAAAGAAACTTTCCTAAGCTACATTTAAAAATTAAATTAACAAAAAGCTCTTAATTTGACTCATCTAAACTAAGAATTCGAATACAAATAGAATCACTGTAAATTCCAAATTTGTTCCAATTTCAAATACAAATTTTTGTAAACTGTATATTGAATGTGTTTTTCTATGTGTCCCTGCACTTGCACACGTATCTGCTGGCGTATCTCAAAATGTATCTGTATCTCTATCTGTTTCGGTTTCGGTTTCTGTTTGTGTTTCGTTTGGTTTCGGGGAGACTGTTCTCCTGGCTGCAGCGGGTGCCAAGGAATTTTAAATCGAATTCTTCGGGCATCTAATTAAATGCTCCTCGCAACGAAAAGGAAAGAGGCGGAATCGGAATGGGAAGAAAAGGCTGCCTGATGAATCGGGTATTTTTTCTGATCGAGAAACGTAACGAAACTGAAAACTGAAATGGAGGGAAAATGTGGGGGAAAACAGAGGGGAAAACGGGAGGGAGGGGAAAAACAGAAGAAAAGTGCAAGCGTGCCGTGGCTATCTCATCATCTTCTGCGATGCCCTCTTTCGGATTCGTTTTGTTTTCGGTGCGGAGCAGTTAATTGAAATGCATTTTAAAATCGTAATGAGGAATCTATGCGGCATTCGGCATTGCCACCGTCCGTCCAACAACAACAACTGCAACAACAACAACTGACTACTGAAAACAACAACATCAACATCGACCGCATCGCATTCCGGCGACATTTCATAGCACATTCCAACTAGCGATATATATAAAAACGTATGTATATATGTATATATCTGTGCATATAGCATATATAGACGGAGCACATTGCATTACGAAAAAAATCTATATAAATGCTGAATAGTTTTAAGCGCACAAACGTAAAGTGTTTAACTGTGTGCGGCTGGTCTCAAATAGACAAATGACCAAAATGAACTTTAAATACCATTAAGCAGAATTCCGAGGGGAAAGACGGAGCGGAAGGGGTAAAAAAGTAAACAAATTTAAACAAAACCACTTTGTTGTTTACTTTTTGCTCAGATTGTATTTTAAGGGACAGTTCTAAAATCGGCAATGTGTGCCACTGTGCAGCAGTTGCACGAAAAATGCCAAGAGCACCCTATTAAGATGGGGAATTTGCTAAATCGAATCACCCTAATGTATTTGGTAACAGCGAAAATGTTTGGATTATTGACCCAGAGCTTACAAATTAATTTCTATTGATTTTATTGACTTCAGAAATGGCAAAAGAATTTTGCATGCTGAAAGATTTTGAAAGCTTTAATATTTAACCAAGTCAAAGATTTATTTTACTTTTATTTAAAAGAATCAAATTGTATTTCTAAGGATCGGTAATGATTTAACATTTATTAAAATGCAAAATATATTTAAGCAATTACCAAAGTAAATTTGCATCAAAATACACTTTAAATTTAATCACCATTTTAATAAGCATTTTAGTAATAACAGAAATAATAGAAATTTTTATTCCCATGAGATTTGAGTTATTTGCGGGTCCATTAATTGGCCTTCTCGCAACAGATTTTGATTTAAATTTCGGCAAACCAATCACCGTAAATTCGTAGTTAAGCAGCCTGCGGAAAATTTCCAATTATCGCATAACGAATGGGGAATTGAATGGAAACTGAATTTTCGCACAATCAAAGTGGTGGCATTTCCTCAAAGCAGACGTGGAAATCGAGGAAATCGGGGGGGAGCAGCCACAGAAACTCAATAAAATCCCAGGTTTAACTGCAATTGGCGGTGCGGCAAAGGAATACACCGCAAAGTGCTCCAATCGAGGGGGCGGTGGAACGGTGAATTCGCCCAGTGGGCGGGGCACGTACGAAACATTAGCATTACCGTTATACGACTGCCGGCACCTGCTCGGCATTTAAATTCGGGGATAATTGATTGATTGAGCAATGGAGGCAAATTAACAGCAGAGCTCCAAGATGATCATAATGAAAATCTTCACTTGACAAGTCGAAAATCGTTATGCCTGAGCGAAATTGCATCGAAAATAAAAACAAGAAGCGAGTGAAACGCAAAAAGATATATACTCGTGTACACATGTTGGCTTATTTTTGTATATATGCAGTACTATATATTGTATGCAGCAGATAGACGGACAGGCAAAACAGACAGGCATGAACAAACGAAACGTTTATCTTCATTAAAGGAGGTAATTAATTTTGAAATCGAAAGAACAAGCGAGTGGCAAGTGGCAACTTGATTTATTTGTTTTATTGTGCGCCCGTTTTCCCTGTTTGTGAGTTCGCTTGTGAGTGTTCGCATTCGCATTCACATTCGCATTCGCATTCGAATTCGCATTCACATTCACAGACATCTCAAAAAACTCGGGGACGGTATAAAGTGGCATCTTAAAGTGATTCTATACGGTAAGCAATGAGTGGAGGCAAAATCTACATTTTTAAAATAGTTTTGGCAACAAAAGATGGATTTAATGAGACTCAAAAAACATAGTTTATTTTAAAAGCATTTAAAGTGATGGCTGGTAAACAAATTAATCCATCATTTAGTTTTCATTTTCAATTTAGTTTAAAATTTGTTTAAAATATATTCAAGTTGTTAATGGCAGCTGCCAAGATTTGGCTACAAACTAATTTATCTATTCAACATTGACCAATTTACTTATGAAGAAATTATGTCAAAGAGGTTTTTAATTTTCTATAGAAAGCTATTTTATTCCAAGCGGATATTAACACTACAATTAAACATTTATTACTTTACTTTTATGTAGAAATCTGGCAAAAAGCGTTCTGAATTTATATTCAAAGTTTTCTTTTACTTTAAATTTGAATAGACGCCACATTTATTTATTGATTTCTGTAAGAATACTCCTCTCCATTTTCTAAGGGTGAGCTGCATATTTTCGTAGCCATATTGTTGCACTCATAAAGTTTACACACATTAACCGACATCTCCTCCATCGATACAAGGTCATCAATCAAGTTTCGAGCAGCACAAAAAGTTGCTCCCAACTAAAACCACTTAACACAGTGAAAATTTTGGATTTTTCCTAGTCGATCGAACCATCGCCCCATTCTTTCCCACACACTCACACATTCCGAAAGGCATAATTTGCCTGTTGTAAATTTCCCGAGAACATTTTAATAACTTTGCTGGAACCGCTGGCGTATTTTTCACCTAATTATGCCCCCATTTGGGGGACAAGTGAGCCAGTGCCGCAAATCGAGGCAAACACGCAAACTGACAGCCGGGACAAGTACATGACACGAGCGGTTCTTTGATCACAACTCGCCGCAGCCGCAAATGACTCGAAAAGGGGTGGAGTTTGGCCGGGAAAACAAGCTGATTATCCTCCTACACTAAAACAAAAGGAACCGAGTTCTCAAATGCTTGAAGGGGCTCACACAAGCGGAATTAAGTTATCAAAAGCCAACAAATAAAGGAAATTGTGAAACCAACAAAGGAATGGGGTCGCGACATTTTAAGAAGAGTTTCTGATTTATGGCGTAAGGAAAAAAGAAAAAAAAAACGCTTGTACTGCAACTCGGCTTTTAACACTTCTTTGAGATAATTTTTATTAACAGGTCTTAGAGCAATTGCTATTTTGCTTAAGTTGAAAAAGCTAAATAAAAGCTAAACTTTTAACTTATTAAAAAAAGTTGTAGGTGCCTATATTATATGTTCTTTGACAGGTTTTAAAAAGAAAAAACTTTCCTTAACATTTTAAGGTTTAAGGCTGATTAGATTGGATGCCAATTTACAAATACTTGTAAGCAGAAAAAGGCTTCTTTTTACCTGTCACATACAAGGCATTAAAATAAATATTGTTTTACTAAGGCATAATCCAATGAAAACCAATACATTCAACCAGAATAATTTAAACCCTTACGTAATTAAATAAAATTATTAAAGGAAGGAAACATACATACAATAGCTTCGAATCCTTCTTATTAAAAGTGTTGGGTTACTCATAGTAATAGGATTGTTTTTAATTTTTTAGAACCCATAAAAATAGCAATCCTAACTAACCTTTTTTCTACACATCCAGCCAGAATTTCTATACATTATATATATTTATCTTTTTTGATCAGTGCACTTACCTTTAGCATCCTTGTTGTTGTAGTTGAGGGCGCGGGAGAAGTGCTCGTCCACCTGGCTGGCCGTGTCGCCCGAATAGTTGGTGAACACGACGCAGGAGGCGGAAAGGTACTGCGCCTGACCCTGGCCACTCCCCCCCAATCCTCCGGCTGCACTGCCTCCCAATCCGCCGTTACCGCCACCGCCACCGCCTCCGCTGCCAATTGGCGCCTCCAGAGTGGGAAGATTCTTGGGTATCGCCCCGGTGCCTGTGCCCCCGTCCCCTCCCCCCGAACCCGTTCCGCCCGCCGATGATGGACCGCCCGTCGCTCCGCCGCCCACGTGAAGCGGATGACTGTGCGAGTGGGCGTGGCGCGGGGAGTCCGGACCGGAGGAGCAGGATGATTCATTGTGATGCTGATGTTGTTGGGAACCTACTAAGCGTGCTGGAATAAAAAAAATAAATATATATAGATTTAGAGAGAGGAAAAACTATTAAATAATCGCGAAATAATGGCAAAACACACAGCTGGGAAAATATGATATAATTTATTGAATGCTAACTGGTTCGGAATGCGAGTGCTTCGTCAGCTATTTCAAGAATTTTCAAATTAATTAGCTACGAATGTGCGATGGCTATCTGGCCCCTCCCTCACTTTGGCTACTTCCCTCGCCTGAAATTCATTCTGCTGCCAAAATAAAAATTTCTGATGCAAGCCCACTGACATTGGCAATACCAATAAACACGCACAAATATTGTAATGAAAACCCATGTTTCGAATCATCAATTTGGCCACGTGCAAACGAAGTACTCTGCTTATGAATTATTAATTATTTCTAGATCAATTGTCTGCTTTCATTTAAGTCTCATTACATGACCTTTGTTTCTGATTGTTTTTTAATTAAGTCACTAACTGGCTAAGTGAGAGTTTGTTACAGAAACTAATTTCCCATCTATAAACTTAAACAAATCAATTCAATTATAATAGTTGGTGTTGACTTTTTATTCCATAAAAATACTTTTGCTAGCTACATTTTTATGCGAATTGTATTTTGTTATTCGAAGATAGCAATAAATATTAAAAGAGGATTTTTAAACATGTTTGTTTTATTCTCTTTGCATTCTTTACATTAAAGTACTCTAAAAATGTATTTTTCCATATTCAAATATTTTAATCTTGAATTTAAATTTGTATTATATAATTTTTTTATAAATATGGAACATAATAAAAAGTAAAACAGAGAATCATAATGAGGTTTACCTTAAAGGGCTGGAGTTTCTTGAATAATATTTAAAGCTCCTAAAAGATCTTATAAGACCTATTTTATTTGACCCCAATAAATCGTCTAGATATTAATATTGATTATTTATATATGTTTACTATATACAACTGATCCTGCTGATCCACTCACCTTCAGCTTCGCTGCGCGGCGCGATGAGATCCTCTTCTTTGGTTTGGTGCGTGTGCGTGTGTGTGTGCGATAGCGGGTGCGTGTGTGCGTGGGCGAGGGAGTGGGCGTGCGAGTGGGCGTGGCTCCTGTGCGAGCTGTGCAGCGAGTGTCCTGCCCCTCCACTCAGCACGGGACTCATCCCGAGACCGACGCTCCCGACGCTGCTGCTTCCTGGCACCACGTTGCTCCCCAGGAGTCCGGCGGAGCTCGCCTGGTTCGCCGCCACTGCCACCGCCGCCGCAGCGGCGTTCGCGCTCACCGACGGCGGCAGGATCGGACTGCAGGGCGAATGGGAGCTACCGGAGGCGCTCGACGAGGCCGCCAGGTTGACGCCCGAGGACGAGTACAGGTCCTGGTTGAACTGCAAGGTAAAATATTTTGATTATTAATACTGCTTATTTTGACCTACTTTCAAGTAACTATTCAACTTAGGGAATTCAAAATCATAATTTTATTCATATTGTGCGCCCATTAAATGTTCAAACGAACCCTCAAAAGTTGACCAATATACGAGTAGTCTAACATAACCAGAGACCAAGGCGTAAGAAGTTTTTAATAAAAATCAGATCAAATCATTGACGTTTGTTCAAGAAAAGTTTAATATTTATGGACGTGGGTTTAAAACCATTTTTAAAAAGTTCAATCGCAACATTTTAGCTCTATAAATTACAAGATCTCAACTCACTCCTCTGATGATAGGTATCAATATATATATCTATATAATTATTCATCATGTGTTCTTCTTTCTTCTGTTTAAACCACATTTTTTTTTTAATTTAGAAGCGAACCATTTTGTTATTATATTTTGCATCTGAAAACTATTTCCGTATTTCTAGATAAGTATTTTTTGTAAGAAGTGTGTATTTTTTATTTTTTCAAACAATAACATTTTTAACTAGTTTAGGAAAAAAATCTACCAATATTAATGTAAGATGTTACCTAACGTTTATTCTGCTTAGCTTTGATTATTTCAATTAGTTTAAAACATTGTATAGTTACTACTTTTTTTCATTTCTACTTTGAGTAGTTTTGCTACATTTCTCACTCTAACTTGTAAATCTGAACTTTCCTCACAAACTTAAACTTTAACTGATGGCTTTCATTATTACACTTTTTAAACTTGCTAACTCTCCGGCCACGTTCTTTTCGAAACTATATTTCTGGACTTATAAGTGGATCTCCGGGCGAATTCCCGAAAGGTCGGCGGCGAGCAAGTAATGAGTTATGGGACGCGCTGCAGCAAATTGAAAATGACACAATAAGAAAATTTATGTTGATGGAAAACGCGAGTGAGGCCATTAAATTTACGAGCGTTTGGCGCATATTATCACGGACTCGGGCCAAGGTTGCACCGCTCCAAATGGTTGGATTCCCCCTTAGGTGGAGAAGGGGGAAAGGGGAGGGGGAGGGGGAGGATCCCGGGTTGGAGCTGAAATAGGAGAGCGGCCAGAAGACGATAATCACGCCGCAATCTCCTACTTAGCGGAGTGTCAAACATAATGCGGCGCTGGCGACGATTTACGAGCAGCACCTTCCAGTGGCCCTCCCCCGCATCCGAGTTTTCCCCTTTTCCCCTTCTAATGAGCCCATTAGTGGCCCCCGAAGCCGATGGAGACCCCTCGCTAACCCCATTGGAGATCGCCATGCCACATTTGCCGTCGAAAATCTTTCTAAATTTAAGTGTAAACTTGCAACGAAGCGAGGCGCTGCAACCCCCTGCTCGACTTTTGAGGCACATGCCAATTATGATCGTGCCCCAGGGTTAATAATGGGTTAACCGGGCACGAACCATTTGAAGGAGTGCATCTCGAACGGCGGCCCTGATTTACGAGCGTCATTGGGTATCTCGCAGATACACAACAGCTGCCCGTTTAGCGGGCCACTTAATTAATGAAAATGCGCTGAGTCACTGAGTCACGGCTAAAAGACAGAAAGCGTCTTGCCAATAGACGCAGATACAAATTGATTGAGATACAGCTGCCGGCGAAAGGTGCAGCTTCACAGGCACTTGCCGCAAATATCTGGCAGATCATGTATCTGCGTCTGTCACCTGGCTTAAGCACATAATCAATGCGCTCCGCCTTATCGGCCAACACTATCAGCGACGACGGTCGCTCCAAATTGGAGGCGGATCGTCGCATCGCCAATCGCGGCGAATCGCGAGTCCCCAAATCGTGGCCAAAGTGCAGTAGCGTAGGAGAAACAATGCGCAGATACAGATACAAAACGCACAGCGGCACTCGCAACCGCCAGCTGTATCTGGATTTGCAGGGGTACACCAAAAGAAATGTATCTCATACATTAAAGCTTTAAAGTTAGTTAAACTGAGGAAAAAGGATTGCTGTTCTGCATTAGCAAAACAACAAAATGAACCAAAAGTTAAAACTTCATTTTTTCCTGTTATAATTTTTCTTCCAAAAAGGATGTGTCTTTATCTTATCATCTAAATTTTTGCATTTCAAATACATTTTATTTGCTACTTGGAAAGTTCTTTAAAAGTCAGATAAAAAGGTTTTAAGTTCATGATATAAGCAACATTTTATAAATGTAGGGTTCCTAATAGGAAAGAGTTTGGTTTGGAGCAATATAGTAAAAATATATTTTAATTATCATCCATGTTGTAAAAGAATGCTACTCTACAAGAATTTTTTCTTCTTGGATAATAATAATATTCAGTGAAATTGAATATATAAATGGCAAAATAAGAACCTGATCTAAATATCATACTTTTTAGTAGCAAACATTTTTAATTGAGTAAATATCTTGTCGATGTATTAATAAATAAACATTAAAAAACAATCAACTAATTGGCAGCAAAATTACATCAGATAGCATAGCTCAATTTTATATTTCTCCGTGTAGTTGTATCCGTATCGGCTGCAGTGTTATTAGCTGCAGGCGATATGTCGGTTATGCCGAGCAGTCAGACCGCCGATCACACGGCATAAATCACCGGGATCGGCAGACGAACCAGCGACAAAATTTTGGGGCTCCCAGCCTCACAGTTTCTGTATTTTTGTTTTTTTTTTTTTTTTTTTTTGGGTTGAAGCTCCCTGGTTTATCTGCGATCGGTTGACAAAAGGCCCAAGGATCGAATCGGTATGGTTATGTTATGGCGTTGGAAGCGAAGAGAGCGAGATCGGCAAGAACTAATGGCGATACACACAATAAATTAACCGAGCGGTCCAAGGTTTTTGTTTGTTTGTTTTATTTTATTTATTATTTTTTCTTTCTTTTTTTTTTTTTTTTTTTTGACTGGGCTTAAGTGTTGAAAGGGCGGACGAAAATTGTGCGTTTTCGGGACGAAATAAACCGGTCATCCAGCTGAGGCCAAAGCTGCTGACTCAATCTGCGATTGCTTTGGAGCAAAGAGCCAAAATGCAGGAGGAACAGGAGAACACTGGAGGGTTTATCGCGGTCCCTCTTTATGGGCATGCAAAAGCATAGAATCAGAATCGTGTCGTATCGGTTACTTACATAAAAGGCCAATTTCGATTTGGTGCCGCGGCCTTGTATAATTGGAACTTGCGACACAAGAATTTCTTTGTGCCCCAGCGACAACGGCAACTGCCTCATGGATTTTTGCTCCACGGTTTCGGCCATGGTCACTCCACTCCATGGTCAGAGTTTTTGGCCTGTGGACCAGTCGACCAATGGGCCCTTTTGATCGTGAGAACTTTTCTGTACTTGTCACAGAAATCACAGCGAAATCTTCGAAATCAATGTTAGCAAAAAGCGGGAGAGTCGAAACAAAGCTCGTGGAATTCCTTGAAATGTTTCCCTTTTTATTTCGCCAGTTTTTTCTTTTTTTTTTTTTTTTTTGTTCTTTATTGTTTTCGGGTTTCCCAAATCGATTTGCGTTCTGCGTGAATTCTTATGATTTGTTAGAAGCGTCTAATTATTCAGTCGGGACCGGGTCGAAACAAATTGACGGAGGCAACAGTAGCTGTTGGCCTTGGCAAGAACTGAAGAGAGCCATCAATCAGCCAGGGATGTGGGTCCTAGCAAAAAGACAACATGACTCATCACCAGTGCTTTCCCTTTCTCAAGTTGTCCCTAAACTTGTTTTAAAGAAGTGCGCTTTTTAGCCAAACGAAAGCAAACAAACAGGAATCTTTACAAAACGTTTTGTGGTTCTCTTTCAACGCAGTTCTGTGTTTATGCAAAGTAGAACGTATTTGTAAGCCTACTGAAAACATATGTTTACATCAAGTGGAATCTAGTTTGAAATGGTGATACATTTTTAAGTTTATTTAGTTTGTAGTAAAAATAGGTTATTTTGCCTTTCCGTTAAATATTAAAAAAACACTCTGTAAAGAAATATCGTAGTAAAATATGTATATATAATTTGTGTGTTTAGGTAAACAACAAACAATTACTATGTAATTGTAGGGAAAGTCTATTTTGACAATTAACTCGCCCTCATGGAAGTACCTTACGTGTTTTCCAAAATATTAATTTAGAGCTAAAGGTAAACGTTTTGTTAATTTTCTGCACGTGTGCATCCTTATCTTCTGAGCAAATTAAAAACTAGTCTTTCGCTTTAGCCGTAAGCCACAATTTTCCACAGCTGATTTGGAATAAACGTTGGATAGGGAATTTGAAGTTTGGAAATTTTTAACACCTTTTTACGAGCATTAACCATTAAAACCGCTTCGCCTTAAGCTTAAAAGTCACATCGCCAAAAATGCCGAAGCAACAAATTTATACTCCAAAAGTTTTGTTTGACGTTTTTGTTGAAAGTTTTTAATGTGATAGTTTTTATAAATACATATTTATTAAGAAATACCCAAAACTCTTAGAGCAAAATGATGTGTAAAAAAAATAAAAATTTATAAAGAATTTAGCTTTAATAATTCCTTTCAATTGTGATGCCGATTTTTTTAGCAATTAATATTTTGTCAAAATTCAATTTTCCATCACGAAATATCTACACTGTTAAGAAGGTTTATAAAATGTTATTTCAATATTTCAAAGTCTGGCCTTCATCTTGGGATACAGTGTATACATGAAATTAGTCAAATTTATCGCTCATACGCGCTGTTGCCGTTATAAACTTTTTATTATGTTAAAAATCATAACATAAATGATAAAATAATTGATTTGAATTTTAACTTGAATTCCCCAAGATTTAATTTTAATTTTAAGGCCCCTCCAATTCTGTACTTTTTTAAATCTTTTAAACTTGATTCTACACATATCCTTTGTGTTGTAATCAGTGGGAGATTCATGATTACAGCTTAGTTTTTGTATAAGTTTAACTATTTAACACAACAGTTTGACCGAGTAAAAGGTTTGAACCTGCTAATCCTTATATAAATTAGTTGGTTTTAGTCGAGTTTGGAGTACTTACCCTCTCATACTGGTAGAACGATCGACTTGGTCCAGCGCGCCCGTACAGATATGGATAGTAGGCACCGTACATAACTTCGGGGCAGGACACTGCCATTGTCGCAGTGGCAATCGCACTTGCAACTGCCACTCACTCACACACACTCACTCACTGTTTTTGCGGTTTTGCGATGAATGGTAGTTAAATTGGTATTGTCACTTGAACGGGGAAATTGTGATACCAATACCCGTGGTTCGAATTGGATTCGTAATCGTATCGGGACTGGAATTCTCTCTGGAGAGAGCAGAGAGAGTGGAAGCGAGGCGGAGAGGTAGGGAGAGGTAAAGAGCTTCGAGTAATTATAAAACCGGCTCTCAAGTCAAGGCGTGTTTTTTTGTTGTTGTTTTTTGTTTTGTGTTGTTGTATTGTTGCTGAAGTCGTAGTATTTATTTCTTTTGTTGGCTGGCGAAATTCCTGGAATGAAAACTCCGCTCGGCTAATTATATTTACATATTGTAAAACACCATCGCGTTTGTATCAAGAGCTATAATTGCTTTTCGTCTTTTTTGTTTATGTTTCTTTTTTAATTTTTCTGTTGTTTTTTTTCGCAAACTTCTTTCTATGCATTCGCCATTCCCGTTCGTGGGTATTTTCTTTTTCTTTTGGGTCTCGTTTCCTCCCCTCGTCGCTCCTCAGCTTTCTTCACTTGTTTCTTTCTTCTTTGTTTGCTTGTGCAGGCAATTGCAATTATCATTTCCACATTGTTGATTGCTGTTAGTCGTTTTCTATTTTTTCTATTTCATGCGGCCATTCCCTTTGGCGTTGGAACGTCAATTTCGTTTCTCATCCGCGTTTCCGCCGAAGAATTGCCAACTGCAAGGAGAATGGAGAAAAGTGCAGGAGAAACACATTAACAATTTGCTAATTGTGGAAAGAAATTCGAAGACGAAGAGCCAATTTCTGGCATTTATGTAAAAGCCGACTTTAATGATGGGATTATTCGAACCATAAACTGTGTTGAAAAGTAATTGCATGTAAACAAACACTAACCAGGATTAAATACGGCCACAAAAGCTAAAAAACGCAAGCTTTCACAATAAATAAACTATCGGAAAATGAACACCCAAACATGTTGGGAATTTTAATGTTTGCTTCGAGAAAACCATTTATAATTTAATTACAGCTCTTGTAAAATTGTTAACGAGAAACTTGTCCGTTGGAACATTAAAGAAAAATAAATTTATCGCAACCAACTTTGCGTTTGAAAATGTTGTTAAAACTTATTAAAGGCATATAAAGTGCACGATATGCATGTGTAAATTGTATATTGACAATTAAGTACAACTTTTAACAAATTTTGGTTGCGAATAAAGAATTGATTTATATTAAATGAATTAGAAGAGTGGATGAACAACAATAATTTCCGACGGGAAAATTATAGTCAACAAATATAATCCGTCGGAAATTAAATAAAGACAATGAAACACTTTTAGACGTGATTTTTAATGGTTTTAAAATATTTACAAATTAAACAATTCATATGAGATTGCTAACTGCAAAAATCACATTTTGAACCAATAAGCATTATTATTTATGTAATTATTTTAAAATATATAAAGGGCTAGCACATACAGAAAGTGATTTGTTAGGTTAAATAGGAAAAAAATGTAAATCAATGCTTAAATACGATAAGTTGTTTTGCGCATATTCCGAAACTACTAATAAACATCTACCAAAACACCTAGTTTATTTAATCATTTTCAATCCGTGTTAAATAAGACAATATGAAATAGAACATTAAACCACCATTTTGCACTTACCACTTGAAAGTTTTTAGTATAATCCAACAAGTTTTGCAGCTTCCATTTGCGAATTCAACAGAACATTCGAAACAGTGCACTTATTGAAAAATATTCAACAATTTCACAACTTCTGGCAAGCCATTACTTGACTTTATTTTCGTTGAATCGTTTTGTTGTTGTCGTTAATTTGAATAGTAATTAAAATGATACGCGCTGGGGAATTCGCACGTGAATACTTCAGATTTTGGTGCAGCTTTTTGTGCGACTATTTTTAACCGAAAACGAGCAGCAAACATTTGCCCGGCGCACTCAATGAAAATATTTTCGCTAAATCCACAAAATGCCAAATTCCATAAATTCTTGGCGGCGCGCGAGAGAGAGGGATATAGATGGATCGGGAGAGCGGAAGCGGGAAAGAGAACGGCACTATTTTGGCGATTTCAGCATCCGCGAAGATCTGTATTTCATTTTTCCCTCTGTGGCACTTGGAAAACAAATGAACTGCACTTGCCGCGATCGCTCACTGGGAAATTTCGAATTTTCTCGTTGTAATTTTGGCGATTTGCGTTTTCGTTCAAATCGAATTCGCGCGCGGCGGAGAGAGAAGAACACGGAGAGCTCCGGCTGCCGCTCAATCGGAAGAGAAAAAACAAACTGGCGAAAGGAGCGGTAAAACCAAAAGCAATGCAATGCAATCGGGGGCAGAGCAGCAGCAGCGCAGCCGACGCAGCGTCGAAAACAAAATGGCAATTTCCCATATCAAGTTGTCTCACTCGCACGCAAAGCAGGTTTCATTTGCCAGAGCGAGATAACTAGACTAAGTTTCATCGGAGGGCTCCGCCCACTTGATTGCTGCTGCTTTCAAATGTTGTTGTTTCCAGGTTCCAGTTAACGATGCCACATCGGTGTGAAAATAAAATGGAGTGCGTCTCAATTGTGTCCTCAAGTAGACGAAACTCCTGCTGTTTCTCTCTGATTTTAAAGTTCGACAAAACAGATTGAAAGGAATTCGCATTCGTTCACGGGGGCTTCTTCTTCGTCCTTTTGTTCCTTTCCGCAGCGAAAAGTATGCGCCAACTGTGTCAACAGTGTTTGCAGTGCCCCCGCAGTCCTTGTTGTTCAACCCCCTTGCAAGGCCCTCATTCCCCTTCAGCCGTGACGTTTCCGTATTGATAATAATCTGATTGCAAATGAATACAATTTATTGTGCTGTTCATTCGGCTTTATTTCGCTGCTGATTGTGAACTGACAAGGTGCGGATGTGGAAAAGTGAGAGACGTGTTTACTACTTCTTTAATTGTTATATCCAACGTTGAACAAAAAAGAAGACAAGTGTGCCGAACAGTGGCAAACGCAATCGCGTTTACTTAAAATTTTTTTTCAAGAATGGCTTTACTTACAACGGTCAACTAATTCAAATTCTTGCAGTTTTTATATTAAAATTAGCAAACCTTAAGTTTTATTAACAAGATAAAGTCATATTAATAGGACTCTTCTGTGAAAAAAAATCTGCTTAGGAATCCAATAGGAGTTTTTGAAAATTTAAACCAAATTATAGGCATCAGTATAAAACTAAACAGTCAATAATGGGAGCCAACCTCAGTTTGTGATTCTATACGATAGTGTAGGGGGTTTATTTAGCTAACTTTAGCTTACCGTTTTGTTTAAACTTTGGAAAAGTTTAAACTCCTAATTCACTCTCGTCTGATAATATTAGGAATGAAATCGAAATTTCGAAAAGATATCGCAAGGGCTTGTGTTTGAACTGTAGCCATTGTTAAATTCACTGCCTCTTTTATAACCGCGAGTTTGTGTATCTAATAGGAACATTAGAAGTCCACAGAATGCAAGACAGATACTAAAAGTCCACAAGAAAAACCAATAAGATCTTAAGAAGTCCTATCATAAGATATATTTAAACCCAAGTGCTCCTCAGATGGATCGATGTGAATTAAACTTCCAACTGAAGTTTTCTAAGTTTCGTAAAATAAAATTCTTCCAATTTAATTTGAAAACTATAAAATATTAATCATTGGTTTTCCGAAGTCCAATCAGTAGTTTTTAACCATCGAAAACTCATGGAGAACAGGAAATTATTTCAAACTGGTTCAAATGCAAATACAGAAATGTCAAATTTATTGAATTGCATTCTGCATAATTAAATTGGTTTTAATAGAATTAATCCAATTCCTTAGCTTAGAGTGGATTCTTCATAATAAATTATTTTGATTCCAATAGTACAAATTCATTTTCATTTTTCTGTCCCCAAAACTATGCAACAAAATATATATACCGTTCCACTTCCATTTTAGTCAGCACCAAATTTTCATTCAAGCCAAATAATTTCAACAAAGTAAAGTACAAAACGCACGGGCAAATATTTATTTTCTTACGAGTTTCCAAATAAATTTGACTCTAGGCAGTCTTCTCGTACATTTTTCTCGTTGTTTAACAACTCCTCAGCATGTTAGTCTTGAGAAATGGGGAAAAAACTTACACGAAATAAAAAGAACTGAATGCTTGGAAAGTCACAGGGAAAGTAAAACAAATGTTTTATCGAATTTAATTCACATCTAAAGAGTAGAGTTGTTTGAGTTTTTCGGTGTTTAAGGCGTTAACCTCTTGGGATCACGTGGGAACATGGATGTCTTTCGGATGTTGTCCAATCCCAGATACAGCATCACCACACGCTCCATTCCAATACCACCGCCAGCATGAGGAGGACATCCATAACGGAAGGACTCAATGTACGCCGCAATCTTGGATGTATCTTAAAGAAAGAGAGGAGTTTATATAGTACAGTATTAACATTTGGAATGGTAGATTACTTAGGTTATCACTTGTTATCACCTATATGCAACAGTTTTAAATAAGCACTACAGATAAAAAACCTAGTTAACTATACACTTAAAGATCTTGTGACTGCTGACCTTAAACTGTCTCAAGTATTGTCGTCATTTAATTGAAGCTACACTAAGAACAAGAACTATTCATCACTTGCAGTAAATTATTATTTTATATTGATTAAAATTATTTAACTATTTTTAAAATGAGTATAAATCTAGGATAGACTCACCTATGCCATGGTGTTTGGCCCGCTCCATTAAGTACTCGGGATCGTGGATACGCTGCGCGCCGGACAGGATCTCCTCGCCACGCATGAACATATCATACGAGTTGGAGTAGACGGGATTGTTCGGGTCGGGCATCGTGTAGAAGGGTCGTATCGCCAACGGGAACTTGTCCAGGATGTAAAAGTCAGTATCGTACTTGGCCTTGACCAGACGACCCAGTAGTTTCTCGTTGGGCGTCGACAGATCCTCCTCGTCACCCGTCTCCACACCAGCCTCACGGAGCATTGCCACGCCTTCGGCGAACTGGAGGATTAGCGGCGGCTCCAGAAACTTGAAGGCATCCACCTTGTACTGCTGGCCCACGGACTCGATCTCACGGGCATACTTGTCGCGCAGTCCCTTGAAAATCGCGGTAAACGTGTTGCCAATCGTGTGCAGCACCTCGTGGTAATGGTACTTGAAGGCCATCTCCAGATCGAGACCAACGAACTCGGTCAAATGCCGATGGGTGTTCGAGTCCTCCGCCCGAAAAACTGCGCCCACGGTGAAGACCTTGTCGAAATCAGCGGCAATGGCCATCTGCTTGTACAGCTGCGGCGACTGCGCCAGATAAGCCGAATCCTTGAAGTAGCTCACGGTGAACACATTGGCGCCTCCCTCGCTGGCCGCCGAAATGATCTTGGGTGTGTGGATCTCGGTGAAGCCCTTCTCGGTGAGGATGTCACGGAATAAACGACACACTCCCGCCTCCAGTCGGAAAATGGCCTGATTCGCCGGGGTCCGCAGGTCCAGCACTCGATTGTCGAGACGCGTGTCCTGGTTCACGCGAATATTTAGGCCCTCCGCATCATCGGCAGTCTCCGGACGCGAAGCGTCCTCGATTTGCAACGGCAACTGGGCTTTGGCTTGGGAAATCACAAAGATCTGTTCGACGGACAGCTCCAGCGATTGCTCAGTGCAGGATTCAATTTTGCTGGATACCGCCACTGGCTTGGCCTGGATATCGATGATGCTCTCCTTGGGAATACTGGAAAAAGAGAGGGAATCGTGAGCTCAATTGTTTATTTTAATAATTAAAGCATATATGGTCAAGCCTTTTCAAAAGTGTAATAACTTGCAGCTCGCTTAAAATTTCCAAAAAAAACTAATATGTTGTATCATCATAATTAATACAAAATAAAATAAAAAACAATATTTTTGCATGGCTTTAAAATTTCCACCTTGAAATGAAGGTTTTCATCAGAAATTGGAACATGTAGGGTAGTTGCAAGAGATATTTAAACTGCAATTATTCTAATATGTACAAATTCAGTTGAGACCGTTGTAGGAAGCGATGCTATATCATCTGCCCCATTCAATTTTTATCAGGTAAATATCTATATGACCTACCCAATATCTATATGATATCGAAGTGTTTATATTTGGGAGGATAAACCCCGTAAACTTACTTGCCCGCAAACTTGACCATCTGCTTGGATATGATATCGCCCACTGCCAGGATGCATTGGACCGTGCTGCTCTGCTGGCGCAGGATGAGGAAGCACTGCTTGCCCTTGGCCCTCGATGTGTGAACGCGTCCTCGCACCCAGACGAGTCCTTTGCCCACCTGGCCATTCAGTTCCGAGACAGGGAAGAAATTCCTTTCGCTACGCTTGTCCTTGGACTGGATCATCTCGGAGAGTCCATAACGTCCGGCCGCGTGATCCTCGGCAGAATCTCCGGCTGCATTGTTGGCAGCTGCGGTGGAGGCGTTCTCCGCTTTTTGTTCGGCTTTCTGTACAAATGGAGATTATAAGCTGTTATCAGGGGTTCAAAAAAGAGACCTCGCCACGTCGGCAATTCGTAGATACTCACCTTGGCGGCCTTGGCCAGCTTTTTAGCTCCCTTCTTGGAGACCTGCTCCCCGTTGGCCACGTTCTCCTTGTCTTCGACCATTTTGGAATGCACAAAAACGGCTGTAAATAAAGGTAGGTGATATACTTTACAAGGGGCTCACAAAACTAGTCCGATAAGCAACAGGCGAAAAAGGAGGAGTGCTGAATGCGTTGCGTCATGGTTTTATAAATAGCACTTGGCGGATGAAGTGCCCCATTTGCGAATAAATGACATTGGTTTCCGGGCTGCAGTTCAGTCACCCTAAAACATCTTATATATCCCATATGTCCACCGCATAATTCCGGGGGCTGGGGCACTCTTTGTCAAGCGGCTCACACATAACCTAAACTTTGCCGACCTTATTTTGGTGTACGGACGATGACACTCACTGGATATCCCTATACTTATTGATTGCTTTAGTTGTGCACTCAAATGCACTCGACTTACCAGCTAGATTTTGCCCTTTTAATACACAAACGAAAAGATTTCACGAGCGTCGTGTACTATTGCACATGCCAGCAGCGCGGTGCAGTTCTTGTCGAATTTATCGATATACATCGATAGCTACACGTCTGTTGGTAAGGTGCCGCTTTAATCATACCGTTCTGAGTTCTTGACGTCATATGTTTTGTTATTGTTCGCGACTAAATACGTTTAAATTTATAAAAGTATTAATGAAACATTAAGTAATACTCGAAGAGCAAATATATTTAATAAATAAATAATAAAATATAATAATATATTTTGGACAAAAGTTATAATGTTATAAAACATTATTACTTTTTGAAGTTAAAATGATTTTGAAAATATAAATACTTATACAGCTGCTTAAAATTACCCCATCCCCAATGATTGTCTCATCCCCTTTTCGATAACAGTCAGCAGGCACATCTCTGTTCATTTTCAGAAACAACTATTAAGAAAAACAACATCCATTTGTTTGTTTAGATCAAACTAGTGCGAAATCCAGAGGTAATTACTCATTACATTAAAGTAATTTTGACACTTATAGGTTATAGGTCAAGGCAATCGGTTTTTGAAATAGGTTCTTTCCCTGTAATTTCGAGAAGCTGGTAAAAGAGTGAGTCACCATTTTACTGCGAACTGCTGTGTATGTATTATTTGCGAGAGTGGTGCTCCAGCTGAACCAATTTAATAGCTACGACTAGATTAAAGCGTAAACGCTTGTGTATAGGTAAATTCCCTAAATGACTCTTAACATTTAAAAAGCATAATTAAACCCACACCAAAAGCACACGTCATTTGACCACAACATACCAAAAACTTTGCGAAAGTTTCTAGCAGTACGCAAGTGCCAAGTTGATTGATAATTAAAGTTGCATGCCACCAAAGAGTGAAACTACGGAATATTTACATTCTTTCTCACTAATTAAATTAGCTAATGATTTGTTATTATCGCTCTTTGCAGGTAAAATACCCGTCAAAACAATGCAAGGTGAGTGCGAAGTGGGCAGGCCGTACTAACAGAAAGTTTTGGATCTTCAATCTTTTCCACAGCGGTTTCGGAATTAAAAATCAAAGTCCCTAGAAAGAAGACCGGCGAGAATGTCCTGGCAAAGTGTTCCCCAGTACCCCCAATACCAAGGTTTAATCTCTTTGAATACTAAGCGAGTGTTTCTGCTTTCCGGTTTATAGACGCATGCTTTTGTTTGTCCCAGGGGCTTGTGGACTCGTTGAATGCCCGTAATGCCCCAGAGCCGCCCTGAGTTCTGATTCATTTTCTCTTAACATATTCACTTAATCTCGTAACATATAGTATTTGTCCCTTCTTATCATGGTTGTATGTACATATTTGCTCGAGAGTTGTTTCTTGGTTTACCGCATTTCTTCGTCACAACGGAGCGTTTCATTTAGATTTTACAGTTCTTGTTAGAGACTGCTGTAGCTGAAAATCTCGGATGCTCTTTTCCCTGGTTTTAGAACTATATTCATAGTATGTCTTATTCCACAGATCCCAACCAGCAGTACAACTACGGCGGAGGCTATCCACCTCAGGGAGGATATGGCGGTGGATATCCGCCTCAGGGGGGCTACCCGCCGCAAGGACCCCCTGGGGGCTATCCGCCCTATGGGGGAGGTGCCCAACCCTATCCACAGCCCTACGGACAGGGGCCTCCGCCCGGGGGTTATGCCCCCCAGCCGGGATTTATTCAACCACCGCCGTCTGCTGGTGGCTATGGAGCCTACGATGATCCGGAGAGCCAGCCCAAGAACTTCTCCTTTGACGACCAGAGCATCCGACGCGGATTCATACGCAAGGTGTACCTGATTTTGATGGTGAGTGTTTAAACTACCGGTTAACATTTCCTAGATTAAGGCTATACCATTTCTTTTCATACAGGGCCAACTCCTTGTCACTTTTGGAGCTGTCGCCCTGTTTGTGTTTCACAAGGGCACCAAGGAGTTCGCCGCTAGGAACATTTGGCTGTTTTGGGTGGCTCTGGGCGTGATGCTTGTGACCATGCTGTCCATGGCCTGCTGCGAGAGTGTGCGTCGCCAGACGCCAACGAACTTTATATTCCTGGGTTTGTTTACGGTTGCTCAATCGTTCTTAATGGGAGTTTCAGCCACCAGATATGCGCCACAAGAGGTAAGTTTGAGATTTTTTTACCCAAAGGATGACATATTCAAATTTTAACTTCTTAACTTCAGGTTCTTTTGGCAGTAGGCATAACGGCTGCGGTCTGTCTGGCTCTAACGATCTTCGCCATGCAGACCAAATATGATTTCACTATGATGGGCGGCATCCTCATCGCCTGCATGGTGGTTTTCCTGATCTTTGGCATCGTGACCATATTCGTAAAGGGAAAGATCATCACACTGGTGTATGCCTCGATCGGAGCGCTGCTCTTCTCCGTTTACCTCATATACGATACGCAGCTGATGATGGGCGGCGAGCACAAGTACTCAATCAGCCCCGAGGAGTACATCTTTGCGGCGCTGAATCTCTACCTGGACATCATCAACATCTTCATGTACATTCTGACTATCATCGGTGCATCGCGCGACTAAGTGCCGCTCTATTTCCATGTATTGTTTACAATTTAACCGGATTTAGCTTTAACCGGAAAACGAATATTGTTGTCGCGTAATCTCATCGGTATTTACATCCTTCCCCAGTGGAGGCAATCTTCAACTAACGAACTACTATCTACGATCTATATATTTCTCGTTGCGTTTGCCAATTTCCGGTTTCCTTCTAGTTCTAAACGTCAGTTAAGGGTAAATGAACTTACTTGCTTTTCGTTATGTATTTGTATTCTTGCTTAAGTTGAAGTACGAATCTAGTGAATGTTTTCAAAATTCCCAAAAAAAATATAGATATATGTATACCAAATGATATGCCATTCAGATACACAAACCACAATAAATAGTCACGTATAAGCATATTTATGTGAGAATATATAAGCAACAAGGCTTGCAATTGTTAACAAACGAAACATTTAACCGTGTGTAATCACCAAGGAATCCCGATTTTTGAAAATACGACTCAACGAACATTGTAAACCGTGCAGCGACACTGAGTTTAAAGTCAACAATAAAGCGCATCTATTTATTAAAGCCGCCACAGACCTCAGCATTGTGGGGCTTCTGCCAGCGGTTCATCCAGTTCAACCACCAGATGCAACTTTAGTCAGCAGCGGGAGAGCAACGTCTGTGGTTGGATTACTTCCGAAGTCTATTCCTTCGTCAACTACACCTTGCTTTATCATTGCTTAAATATTCCTCGTTATCTGCACTACCACAGCAAACACCTAAGTAGCGGGGTGTTTTAATTTTCGGGTTGGCCCCATAGCATTCTCTTGACCCGGCCACCTGTTCAGTAGTTCGTGTGAATTCCAGCAAGGCGTAGCCATAAAATGTATCACTACCAGCAAGGTAAGCACAGTCCGAGTTGGGCTAACTCAGGCGAAATGGGCAGCGGAAAAAGTGTTTTAGATTAGATAATCGTTATGGCTATAAAATATAGCTGACTGCAATTGATTTTCTCTGCAAAAGACTAAGAAATCTATCTCTCTCGGCGAACTTTCATCTGATAAGACAGCAGGAAAGGCTTGAATTATTTGTGTGCCGCAACATTGTGATTCACCCATTTAAAGGGAGAGTGCTCAACCGTGTTTAAAATTGAGTGGTGGCAATATCAGTTACTCACCCACATCAGTATATGAATCTTATCTGAAGTGTGTATGTGGGTCTGTGATAAGAGCCGAGTCCCGGCTAATCTCCGGTTGTCGGCAATATGGAGACACCTGAAAAGGGCGATTCGGTTCCAATAAGCTAAAATACTCGCACGTTACCGGCAGACATCGATTGAGAGCCCCAATAATTTTAGTCATAGCGATTTAGCCATGAGCAGCGACAATCATTTTCAGTACGGTTAGTCATGGTATTTAATTTCCTTTTTCCTTGATCTGTCTTCCAACCAAACAGGCGATGAAACTGGCGCATATACAGATGCGGAGGCCGACAAGAGCTTCGCGTTCGATGACCAGAGCATCCGGAAAGGGTTCATCAGGAAGGTCTACCTTATATTGATGGTAAGTGAAGTGGCTTCATTCTAGAACAAATTGGTTCTCATCTTTGTCTTTCTCCGATGTTCATTTGAAAATGTTATTAAAACATGTAACAAAAAATAATTAACAATCAAAAGTGTGCAAAGTATTCAACATACATACTTAGTCGATTGATTATACGTTTAATTGCTTCTTACTCTTCCTCTCTTACTTTCTAATCACTGATATGTGTTCTTTTTTTAGTGCCAATTGCTGATCACTTTCGGTTTTGTTAGTGTGTTTACCTTCTCGAAAGCCTCACAGGAATGGGTGCAAAAAAATCCGGCTCTCTTCTGGATTGCATTGGTAAGTTATATCAGAAAATTCTGTTTTCAAATTACATTTTGCTAATATTCAAATATATTTTTGAAATAACATTTAAATTAAGACTGATTAATTTTTGGGTTTTAAGAGTTATCTTTTGATTTCCGCACTAACATGAATATTTTTCAGGCGGTCCTTATTGTTACCATGATTTGCATGGCTTGCTGCGAAAGTGTTCGACGCAAGACGCCTCTGAACTTCATCTTCCTGTTTCTTTTCACCGTCGCAGAGTCCTTCCTCCTGGGAATGGTCGCCGGGCAATACGAAGCCGATGAGGTCCTGATGGCAGTTGGAATCACGGCAGCAGTGGCACTGGGACTCACCCTGTTTGCCCTGCAGACCAAGTACGACTTTACAATGTGCGGTGGAGTTCTGGTGGCTTGCTTGGTGGTCTTCATCATCTTCGGCATCATCGCAATCTTTATTCCGGGCAAGGTGATCGGACTGGTCTATGCCTCCCTGGGAGCTCTGCTCTTCTCCGTTTACCTGGTGTACGATACCCAGTTGATGCTGGGCGGCAATCACAAGTATTCGATCAGTCCCGAGGAGTACATCTTCGCCGCACTGAACCTCTACCTGGACATCATTAACATCTTCATGTACATACTGACCATCATTGGTCTGTCTCGCAATTAGACAGCCAACTATGATGCGTATCCGTAGTTTCCATTCCAGTTTTAGAGATATGTAACTTAATTTTATGTTCCCACCTTAGCCACGAAGAAATACAGACCGACTAACTAACCCTACGTAGTCGAGAGCTCGCTTTGATTTGGGGATTTTGGTTGGGATTTGGGGCGCTCAACTAGTTCGAACCTTGTCCGCGCCGCGGTGTCCAATTAATTAATGCGCACGAGTGGCCGTAATGTAATTATGTCCAATCAGCCCCTGCAGCGCCGCCAGTTCCTGGACTGGATTGGATGTGGACAAGGTGATCGGCGCGATCGTCAGTTGTGCGAGCGTCTGGCTAACGGGCGGACATGGATTTCGACGAGGTGCTGCGGGAGGTGGGCTCCTTTGGGCTCTACCAGAAGGTCATCATCTGCTCGGTGCTGCTGCCGGCCGCCTTGCCCTGCGCCTTCCACGCATATAGGTGGGTCGACCAAGTTGGTTTCTTAAATGTTGTTGAGTCATCTGTGGCAAAAATGAATAATTACAACAAATTACAAAAACTATAGTATAATTAAAAGAGCATACCTTATATATTATTCAGTTGCCTAATCCACATGTGAAAGATTAAGTGATGAAAATCAAAGTATTAACAATAAAATAATTTCCAGCCAGTTGTTTATAGCGGCCACTCCGCAGCACTTTTGTCGAGTTCCGGAACTGGAGCCCTGGGCGCAGGACTACGTGCAACTAGTTAAAAACTTAAGCATTCCGCGAAATCGCAATGGTGCTTTTGCCGAGTGCTCGATGTACGCGAGGAATTACAGCGATATAGTCCGCTATCTGGAGTATCGCCCGCCTCCGGACTTAATTCGCCAGCAAGCCGAGGATCTGCTCAAGTTGCAGCCGGAAACTGCTCAAGTGGTGCCGTGTCAGCATGGCTGGCACTACGACAAGACCATTTATTCCAGTACGGTGGTCCAAGAGGTATGTATACATACGTTAAATCCAAAAGTAAATACTTCTATAATGGGATATGAATAATCTCGAGCTCGGGAAACAAACTATTAATTTCCGTTTTTCTGTTGCAGTGGAACCTGGTTTGCGACCGCAGCTTCCTGGTCACTTTGGGCCTGGTGGTTTTCGGTGTGGGTGGACTGCTGGGTAACTACGTATTTGGATACCTCGTGGACTTGTGGGGCAGACGACCCTCCTTCTACGCTTATTTGCTACTGGAAATCACCGCTTGTGCAGCCAGTGCCTTCGCCTGGAACTATTACACCTGGTTGGGACTGCGCTTTGTGGTGGGCCTGACGGTGCCAGCGATCCTGGCCAGTCCCTATGTCCTGGCTATCGAGCTGGTGGGTCCGGAGAGGAGGGTCTTCTGCACCATCGTTTCGAATATAGCCTATTCCTTGGGCTTGGTGGTGCTGGCCGGAGTTATCTACGTCGTCCGGGATTGGAGGGAACTCAGTTTGGCTGTGTCTATGCCTTTATTAATGCTCTTCTCCTGCTTTTTCGTGCTGCCGGAATCGCCGCGATGGTTAATGGCCGTCGGAAAATCCAGGAGAGCTTTGAAAATCCTCAAAGTGATGGCCAGAGTGAATGGAGTGCGTGTTAATCGAGATTTTGTGGAGCGTCTGCATCGAAAATTGGCCAGCTCAAGGGCTGCAGAAGCTGTATCCTCATCGAGCACCCACTATGGTATCCTGGACCTGTTTCGGGGACCCAATATGCGCCGAAAGACCTTGATTATTACCCTGATTTGGTTTGCCAACACGAGTGTCTACGTGGGATTGAGTTACTATGCTCCTGCTCTTGGAGGAGACGAAATCTGGAACTTCTTTTTGGCCGGGGCGGTTGAGCTGCCGACATATTTGCTGCTCTGGCCGGGATTGAGTTACTTTGGAAGGCGTTGGATCCTGTTCATCTCGATGTTGGTGGGTGGAGTGGCCTGTGTGGCCACTTTTCTTTATCCGGACATCACGTTGCTGCTCTACTGCGTTGGCAAGATGGGCATTAGTTCGTCATTCGTGGTCCTGCCGCTCCTGGCATCTGAACTTTATCCCACGGTGGTAAGGGGACTTGGAATGAGTTTCAGTTCTGTGGTGGCCATGGTGGGACCTATAGTAATTCCTCTGATTAATCATATGGTGAGTAGGCACACTTACAGCTCATAATAATAGTAATGTCTTGCCTTTGTTATTTTGCAGGGCCAACAAATGCTAGTTCTTCCGCTGATTGTAATGGGTGCTCTGTTGATCCTCGGAGGATTTGCCAGCCTCCTTCTTCCAGAGACTCGTAACCGGAATCTTCCGCAGACTTTGGAAGAGGGTGAAGCAGTGCCCCTGAGTTTCCTTCTCTGCTGTTGCGTGGAAAGCGAGCGGAAACCCAACAATATCCGGGTAAATCCACAAAAAAGGACTATTCCCGAGGCAGGAACACCGGTTTTCCATCGTGTTGACACTCCGGTTTCTGGACGAGTTGCCTGCAAGGTGGTTTGCAGCATTTGTAAAAAGGAAATGCGTACTCTTTAGTTAGGAGAAAATTGTTCAAATAGAAAATTCCATTAGTTATACAAATTTTCAATTGTTTTGATGTTTTGGCGGCATTTCATTTTTGCTATCTGGCAACTCCATTAATTTCAGGTTTTACAGTGGTGTCTATTACAGAGAAAGGGAAATCTAAGTATTGAATAAATGTGGAATGCTCTATGCTATTTTACTTTTTATCAGTTTTACAGAATTTTTATTATTTATCCAAAACTAGTTTAAAGCCCTATTTTACAAAGGTATCAACTTTTTAACAATGTATGTACATATGCATGTATATTATCAAGTTGGCAGGCCAGCCGGCAAATTTAAAAGCGAACAAAATTAAAGCAAATCAAAAACCGATTGGGTACATTTGTATGTATGTACATACATACGATTAAACATTAATATAGAGCTTATATGTTTCCAAACCGCAATGAATTTGTGTTCTCCACATGACCTCGCAACTGATAGGAACGCAAACATGTGCATCAACCTTAATAAGTTATTATAGGTCGTCAAAAACTGATAACAAAGCCACAACCGCTTGTTTATGCACATATAGAAGCTTCAAGAAACATTCCGGTTGAACTGGCCTAATCGCAATTTTAAGCCAATTTAAACGTGACTCATTGTAAGATTTTGAAACCGAAAACACACGAATACCAGCCGAACCATTTAGCGCATGTTTTGGTTTTTCACCTTTGGATTTAGCCAAATTTCTGTGAAGCTTCGAACGGGTTAAAGTTCCTTTTTAAGAAGGCTTGCTAAACCATCTGGGTTTTTAACTTTTTTCTTTCAATGTCAACAAGTTTTAACTGCCGCGTGCTTTTCTTGCCCCTCCCCACCCCTTAAAAACACCACACAAACGCGTTGCTAAGCACACACACACAAGCTCACTCACACACATGTCGATTATGCAAGCAAAAATAAAACTAAAATAAGTGCCAGAAATAAATGTGAGAAATATGGATATTTCTTATGTTTTTACAGTTCTTTTAATGTAATGTTTGTATGATGGTATAAAACATAGTTTAAAAATTATAAAAATGTTTTCAACAATTTTGGTTCATCGTTCTCAAGACGAAATCAAATAATGGTTATGGTTTAAGGTTGTTTACGTTTTGAGTTTGGGGATTGTTTGCCGGGGGACGGGGTCACATCAAAAAGTCGGAAATTCGGGAAAATCGTTAAGAGCTAGTGCTAAAAATATATTCCTCTTTCTTCGCGACCTGGCAATGACTTTCTCTGGAGTGTCTGCGTTATTCCCCTAATCACCTCGCTTCAATTCTTCCGAAAACCGTATATATATAGTATAAAGTGTGTATTACGAGCGCATATATCTATGGATACGTCTGTGTTTGTTCTTGGGGGGGCGGCAGAAATTAGAATGTGTTTTGTTTCGACTATAGTTTGTTTTTTGGTTAAGGAAACGTGCTTTAATCGCTTTGGAAAATACATTGACGGTTCCAAACTATTACAATTAGATTAAGACTGAAGGGTTCCCTTAGTACGTTAAATATAGTTATTATGCTTATGTGTTCTGTTCAGCGCTCACTCGGATGCCTTTATTTTTTGTATTTTAGTATAGTGTGTGTAGCATGACCCCCAAAAAAGTGGCCTAAAGGGAGCCCGAAGGATGGCCCATCCAGGGACGTACCGCCGCGGTCCGGGGAATTTCCGATTTGGGTACGGAAGGGGGAGTGGTAGGTGGTGTTTGGTTGGTGTGATTCCGGCTCCCGGGGTGCGTCTCCTGTATGTCTGCCCCTTCCGTTTGCTCCCTGGCCGTATGTTTTGTATGTGTTTGTTGTGTTTAGGTGTGATTTATCCAGTTGGATGGGGATGAACTCCTTAAGCGGAGGCCGCCACCTCACCGGACTTCTCCTCCTTTGTGCCGGCAATGGCCACCTCCTCAAAGTTCTCGACCAGATCGGGCACATCATCATCACCGGCATCGGCACCGGAGGAACCGGCTGCGCCGCCGGCGGCGCTCTTGTTGGCAATCTCCGTAGCCAGCTTCTTCAGCTGGTTGATGTCCTGGGGACCCAGTTGCGTCAGGATGCCGGGCACCATCTCGGTGATCGTCTTGTTCTCACCGTGACCAGTGATGGCGAACGTGTTCGTCGGCAGCGAGGCCTGGGCCTTCGGGTTGTTGAAGTGGATGACGGTGCCATCGTTCTTGATGATGTTCACCTCCTCGATGCCGGGAATCGTGTTGACCGACAGTTTCTTTAACGACGACTGCAGCTTTTTGTCGTCGGTGGCGGGCGTGGAGTGGACAATCTTCTTCTTGCGGCGGGGGGTTCCCTTACCACCAATGCGCACCTGCGCCTGCAACTTCTTCAGCTTCTCCGGATTCATCTGGTCAGAATAAAACTTATTAGTAATCTGCCAAAAATAAGAAGCTCAATTTGATATTTACTTTTATTTTACTATAATTTAGCACAGAACCTTGCCCGAAAACACGTGCGCCCAGTTGTAGTCAAATGTCAAAAAGAAATCGCCATGATAAAAATGGCAAAGCAGTATGTATATGTGAGTAGTACTGGTAGGCAGTACTAAACGTCAGTGTTAACTATCGATAGCTCACGAAGTGCAAATAATAGCCCGCCAAGAACTTTTTAACGTGGGTTTCTATTTTATAAATTCAATTATAAATATAATTAATGTTTTTGTACTGCCAAACAAAACTTTACATTTTTTTTCAACTTTTTAGTTTTTAGTTTATTTTTTAAAACAAATTAACAGTAATGTAAGCTATTTATTGAGTTACGCTTAAAGCAATAATTAGAATATAAAACTTTTATTCTCGATTACTAAAATCTTTTCACAAAAATTATAATACACAGATACATTAATAATATAAAATACCAGTTCTTTTTGTTTATTTCTAAGCAATATTTTCTCATTTTTGGTAAGCAAAGCTTTGAGATATTTAAGAAATGACCAATCAAGACTATTAAAATTAAATATAAATGTATTAGCTTATAAGTTTATTTCAGCCGATAGTTTTTCAACACTTTTAGCTGCTTGTGAGCTCACTAAACAAAGCTTTCGCGAACAGTGCTCAAAAACGTAACCTCATAATTGCACTTTGCATCACTCCACCTGTCGTGCAAAATAAAAATTATTATTAGCAGATTAGGCGTTGATAAGATACTAAGCCTTATTCTGACCAGACTTTAATAAAGACATTCCGGTTGGGGCAGCTATTTTATAATCCTTTAAGTCCCACGCGGTTTCGAAAAAATAGTTTAAAATTTTGGTGTTTATCAGTGCGGTGGTTTTTGCATAGGATTGCAACAAGTGGAATTTTCGAGGACAAACATTTTCATAAAGAAACAGAAGCAGTAATTGTTTTTCACACGTATGTATTTTTTAAAATGTTGTGCTTGAATTGTTTAATTTATTAAAGTAATTCCCGAACAGTGGACGACTTTGAAGTAGAGGATTTTGAGGACTTCGCAATGGATTTCTGGGGAGTTTTCCTGTTTTTCGTGCTCGTTTTTATAATAATGAGTTACTGTGGATATTGCTGTAAAAGCAGACGCCAGGGTACCGTTTTATCCAGTAAGTACATATTCAAATGTAGTCATAAATCAAGCGAAGGTATATAACTCCCAGATGAGTCATTCCCCACAAAAGAAAACGTGTTAGTTAAATCCGAATCCCAACTTTGAGTTTATCTTTGTGGAGGTGCGATAATGACAAATCCCTAAAATTTTTTATTGACCCGTGCTAATAAGAGATAAATAATAATATACAGTCACAATAAACCAACCCGAGAGTTTTATAAAAAAAGAGCGAGCTTTTTTCGTAACTTTTTCTCTTTTTTTTATATTTTGGTTTCTCCCCTAATTCGTAAACAATTCGTTATGTTCAACACCAAACCTAATTTACCTTATCAGCATGAACCCAACGTAATTATTGAATTACCTCTATTTAAATGGTTATCGTATAAAATTCTTTTATTTATTATCTTACCATATGCTTTGTCTTTTTGGCTAGAATTTTCCCATTTACCCCCTGTTTTTAATCATAATTTTTCCCCTATTTATTTCCATACATTGAAAAGTTCTTTAAATGACTCATCTTCAGTAGCGCTTGCTCGATAACGAAATTATTTATTTTTCTAGATAGGCAACTGACAATTGTATCCATGAAGAACATTCTGCAGTATTTGCTCGACTTCAAAACAGAACGTGTCGTTGAAGTAACTCAGTGAAAATGATTTACATTTATTTTGATATCTGGTTTCCCATTCTGATGGTGTTCTTTATAGTGATTTTGATATTAGTTCTATTGCGAGTTCGTCGAGCTCGTCGACTTCGAATGGGAACTTCGACTGTGATCACTGCTGGTGAGGTGTAGTCATTAAATAACAATCGCGGAAAGATCGGTGGTCTAATCTCCGATTCTGGGAATCGCTTGAGACACTTTGACTATCAAAATCGAATCACAAGTGCTTAAATCCCAAGACGCCATTTTCATCAAGTACCTGTGATTATCACCTTAAATTACAAATCATTAATGTTTTCCATTAAATCAAATCGGACTCGTGTAGCCTTGTTACCATTTTTGACAATCTGTATTGGCAAACGTTTGACGTCAAGTCTGAGTTGTTCTTATTCCTTTCAGTGCTATGATATTAAATTATAGTAAGTGGTGTTCAAATTAGGCGATAGGGTGCTGATTAGATGACCACAAATAGTTCACAGAAAAACCTTTTTTTTTGTTTGCCGTCTGATTACTGTCGTTTAGCTTAATGTGACTTATTTAATATACTAATGGGGTAATAGGTTTTATGTATGTACTATAAATTTAAAAATGACAGTAATTTCTCTGAAGCGTATAGTTAAAAGACAAATTCCAGTGCCCTGTAATTCTGCTGCTTTATTTAAGGGGCACAAAAACTATTTAAGAAATCGATTTAAAATTTTAATATGTTATTTTTAAACCGAAATATGAAAGAAAAAAAAAAGATTATTTTGAAATGTCAGACTAGTTGTGCCCCTTAAAATCCAAAAATTAAAATAGGGTCGTGAGATATTTCAAAAGAAAAACTGGCTTTTTTGTAAATTAAAAACATTTACAACTATTATGCAAATTAAGAAAAACGTTGGACAACAAATTTTAAATCCATACTTTGCTCCTTACCACATATAAAAAGTGGAAAACTAAAATCAAACCTTTACTTGAATTTAAAAACCGTTCTTTTAAGTCGATGCCAGCCACTCCAAGATATCTTCAATTAATTGCGCTTTTATGAAGTCAGACAACCATCTGCAAATTGTCAACAATGACAATATTATTTCAGTGCTTGAACCAGACATTTATTTCCTCTGTTTCTGCAGAAAAGTCTTGGATCGTCGGTATATTGACCGGTGTTTTTTCCGCTTGCCTTTATTGTTTGCCATCTGCGCTTGGGTCGATAAGGGCAATTAAATTATTTGATTGCCACTGACGTCAGTAGCGTCCGAAGATTTGTGGAGTTTTAGAGGGTAATCGCGGCGGCTTGAGGATCACCAGTAATAAAGTTCGAAATCGAAACAAAATTTCTCCATTGATTGATGCGGACAATTGACGCAGGTTTCAAGCTGTAAATACAAATGTCCACTTGAGAATTTTTATGATTCCCCCCGATTCTATGCTAGCTTTTGGCACCAATATCAGGACAATATTCAACTATATTAAACGTGCAGACCGTCACCAATGCTTGGTAATCTTATCGGGCCTCTCAATCCACCGCTTTGTTTTGCCTTCTGAAGATCCGAAGACCGTCTGGACTCTTACAAAACCCGGCGAGGAAGCTCATCCAGTTCACAATTATCGTTCGACGTCTGCGCAATGAACACAGGCAACGCATCGCAATTTCGCATTACCGTGGCGTAGTTTCGATACCCATCGCAAAGAAATCCTCAAGACTGCCTACCAATCGAATTTATTAGTTAGTAAACTGTTCTAAAATAGTAGTAGATCTGCTCTCGAAAAGATGCCGCACGTTCCGGGCGAGAAGGATCTGCACACCTCCACGATCGTCCTGTGTTCCCTGTTCGCTGTGGTCCTCTGTGGAATTTCTGTGGTCATTGTCCGCTGGGTGATTCGCAAAAGGAAACAACGGGTGGCGGACAAGGCCGTGATCGAAGCAAGTTAGTATTTAGTCCACTGGAGAAATTATTCCTGTCCTCCGAAATGTGGCTGTCCAGTGTCTTCGAGTTGGTAGCTATTAAAGCTATGTGTTTCGTCGTTACCCTTTTCCCAAGTTTGTGTAAAATTCACTTTGTAATGTTGTGTATTGTTATTATATTTTGTTATTCGTTTTGTAAGAAATTTGCTATATTAGTGTTCAACTACTATAATATTGCTACTATATTATAAGATATAAATAAACAGAAACTCAAACCAAAACATTAAACCAACCATTTAAGTTTCCATAGATTAAAAGCTTTAGGAAACTAAAGGAGTTTATTGGATTTACCAGCCGAAACTTATTTACGTACATGCATATGTGAAAAAAAGTTCGTAATAATTAGATTTTATCTTCCATTTTAAAATCTCATCAACCTTCGTTGATAGGTTTCAAAAAGAGTAGATTTTGAAAATAACGACGTTGTATATGTGATTTAGTGGGCTTAAGCTTTTAACCTATCCTATGATAAACTGCAAGTTTTTTAATTTGCATTTGTTTTCCAGTAAGAGCATGTAATGAGTCAGAAATCCTAATCATACTCAACCTAAAGCTTTGATTTTCCCTCAACAAGAGAGAAGAAATTATAAACTAGGCACTCTAGTTTTAAGATCGTTCAGTTTAGTTTTTTGGTTCGTTCCGGTCAAACGTGTTCAATAGACTCTTAAAATGTCAAATGAATTATTTACGAAAGTTCAGAACGATAATCAAAACAAAGCATTGTCAAGTGCTCTTGGTAAAATGTTCTTATTGCTTATTGTATTCTTAATCTGGTTCAAACGTTGCAAATGCTGTAAAAAAGGTGTGAATATTTTATTTTTGTATGAAAACCTTATGTGCAGTTCTTTTAACAATGGTTATTTAATAACAAAAAAAATATTGTATTTACCTCATTGGTTAATGATTTCATAAAAAACTTTGCACGACTTTTTTATGTAATCTATAAACCCTAGTCTTCATAAAGTCTACAAATGATTTGATTATTATTATTTAATTTTTTGTTTTTAAAAAAAGATACAAAATATTTTGTAAACAAGGTGTTCATTCACGGGGCTTGTATTAATTATTTTCGTAACTTTTTAAGCGATGTTACTTTATTGTAATTAAACAATACTTGTTTCATTTCTGTTAGTGCTATACTTTGTGCTGTTTTAAAACGGAAAAACCATCCAGGCACAAAAGAAAATTATAATAGTGAATATCAGATTTTATTGGCGATATTATCCAACAAGTTTCATTATCTTTTAATTAGTCATACCATTCTGGGCTAATCCCATTGATCATTCTTGGGTATTTGCATCTTCTAAGTAGTGTTCATGCATGAAGGAAATTTTTTTAATCAAGCTTTCGATGACGTCAGAGATTCTAAGCCCGGTTTTAAATCTCGATCTTGCAACTGTATTAGGGTGACGTGTGTTACCCAACTTAAGTTCGATCTTTAAAAACTAAAAATTTAAGTCCCATATTTAAATGAATAACGGCTTTACGAAAAATACTGATAAAAAAGGATAAAAACTAATATTTCAATTTGTTTTTAACTTTCCTTATTTTTTTGTTTAAAGTCAATCTTTTAACATTAAATGTCATGCGCTTTCTCCATATTCCATCAAACCAAGGTTTGAGATGAGCGACAATTTTATTATTCTTGGACACTTTTATGAAGTTTAAGTTCAGTTTTTTGATTCCTTTAGGGTACACGTGCTTAATAGATCTGCACAATACCATTTTTGAGCGATAACATTAAAATATATAACGAAAGTCCGGGAAAGTATTACCGTTTAATCAAACTTTCCTCCACCTTTCTTTTTATTTTCTGCAAGTGCATCTAAAGATAGTATTGCAAGCGCTGTAAGATAGTTATGAATTACTTAAGATAAATAGTGCCCTTATCTTTTAGATGTGCGGTATCACAGTTTTTATCTGAAACCCCAAAAACAATGGGAGACTTTTCTGTAAGCCCTTAGTTGGCTTCTTGTTTTTAAAGTGGAATCATGAATTTTCTTTACTTGAATGTGCCAAATACAAGTTCTGATGAATTCGACCTCAGTCACATTATAGTGTTTGTTTTTTTCATTCTTTTGTTTTGCGTTGGAGCCCTTTGTGTTTGTCAATCGTTTTGCATCACCGCTAAACATATAAATGGTTAGTAAATATTATTAATACAAGGTTCTTATCAAATTTAACGACTCGGATCACTGACAGTGGTTTAAACCGTAAATTAAATATCCACTTGAAATTTTTATACTTATGGGATTTCTTTAACTGGTCTTTTATCAGGACTGTATTACGTCGTTCGAATGTTTGGCGTTGTAAAAACCGATTTTTATAAGTAATCACCGATTTTTCTACTCAACTTTTTAGGGGAAGAAACATTTTCTGGTAGAGTGTTTTAAGCTGAATTTTAAAAGATAACTGATTTGTTTTTATATTAAGAAAGAATAAATAATTCTAGCTTTCTACTGATTATACTCGTGTTAAGTATTCTATAGTATAATGAGCCATATTCAGTCAGCTTTATTCTTTCACTTAGATGTATTTATTTTCTAAAGCCTAAAAGCAGGCTGCAAAAATTTTACAGGTAATTCAGTTCTTTTTTTTGTTGATTAGATTTGTTATAAAAAGACTACTAGTTATACTATCTTTAACTTATATTATTACCTCACAAAAGAGATCGTATTTTCCGTTGATTAAGGTGTAAGGAGAACCAGAAAGAAAGTCATAATAGAAGTAAATTATTAATAGTATTGAAATATAATAGTCTAAAAAAATTAGACATCTTTTGTTTAATGTTATTTAAAACAATCCTTCTTAAAATATTTTCGAATTTATTATCCGGGAAGCCTTGTGATATGGTTCCTTTTTTCCATTATTTCATTTTGTTTTAATCTTTAAACTTTTCAAGAAAACTTAAGCTCGAAAAGGTTAATCCAGTTTTTAATAACGTCATTCGGAAATACTGTGTCTGATTTTTATCACTTGATATTGTAAAGAGATAATTCTCGATTATGGGTATTCCCATATTTTTCTGCTTCCTATCTACAAAGCCAACTTAATTTATTGGTAAAATGTTCAAGTCATTGTCTTAAAGAAATATGCGACGTGATTTCAGTTAACAAGTGTTAAGTTAATCTAAATCATAATTCTTATAAACCCAAAGAGGTAGAGTCATTACAGGAATTATATGGTTAATTTTAGAATAATTCAAAAGAAACACAGATTTCCAACGACCTTGACTTGCTATCCTACATCTTGAGTTGTAAAACTTTAACAGCATATAAATCCATTATTGTGAAATAGGTGACTGCTATCTTGGTGATTTCAGATTTAATACTTGTTATGGTGTGGGTAATGTCAGGGGGATTTTTTATTATATTTGTGCAATATACGCCGATAAAACTGACTGTGATTTCACAGGTTTTATGATCAGTTGCTAATGTGTGACAAAAGTGCACTCTTTTGCGTAAATGCCAATCAACAAATGGATATTTGGGGATAATGGCCACATATTATTTAATGTGGTGACGTAAACTCGGAATAGATAGGTCATCCAGAAAATGGTTAGGGAATACATTTAGTAAGGTCCCTGGCTTTCATCATGAACGCCACCATTTTTGATGTTATTGAGAATATTTCCGAGCGACTCCACATAAACTGGTCATTTGTGGCTTACGAAGCGGGAGTTCTAATAGTTCTACTACTCTTGGTAGTGAAATATGCACTAGTTCTTTCCCGAGACTCAGAGGATTTTCACTACGTAAACTAAGTAAAGATATCTGCGAAATGAATAACGAAATCTTGGAAGACAATCCACTAGGATTCCAGAGAAACTATATAGTCCTTATGTACATTTTCCGCCTTTCCTGCAAAATGTTCATCTTAGGATTGATCGGATTGGTTGCACTATATTGGAGGCGTCGTCGTGCTCTCGGCGGTTTAAGTAAGTTGTGTGATAATGTTTGAAAGTGTTGTTATCACTGATAAGTGCTATCTTTATGAGTGCGATTGCCCTTTTCTTTGGCCATTACTGGCACATTTTTCGATTGCCGACCCGGAGGCCTTAGCTCTTCGCAGTTGTTTAGTCTTTGTCCGACGCTTATTCAGTTAGTATCAGAAATCATGGATGATTCGGGCATCTACTGGATACTCTTTTTCACCTTCTCCGTATTCTTCATGACGTCCGTGGCGGTATTTTTGACCCGTGGTCGAACGCGACGAGCGGCACTTACCAAAGGTGCAGGTGTGTGATTTTGTTTTATTTTTTGTGGGTAACCCCCTTTTCGGGCGATAACGCTGCCAATGGGCTTCCAATAGCTGTCCATTTACAAAGAGCCAAAATATCGTAATCAGTCGAAATCGCGAACTCACTGGTGTAGCACCTCCTAAAATCGAATAAAATAATATCCGCCATGCAGCAATATGTTATTCCGATCATAGCATTCTCGGTGTTTCTCGTGATATCGTTTTTAATGTGTCTATGTTTCTTTTGCATAGTGAAGAAGTTTAGATCCATGGGTAAATTTTGTAGAGTTAAAAATAGATTGTTTTGATTTATGTAACTGTATAGAAAACAAGTGACAAACAATCCAGAATGAGGAGTATGGAAAAACATGTGTGTTTTTTGGCCATGTCATGGAATCGCTTATCGTATTGGCCATATAATCGGTGGTTGATTAGACATGGCCCGATTGAGTGGGTCCGTCTGATGTGAGCTCTGCAGTCTGCTTCGTGTTCGTCTGAAAGGCGTTTGTGTTTCCAAGTTAAATCCATTCAATCACCGAAAATGGAGGGATTCTGGATCGGGCTATCTATAGCTTTTTCCATTTTTATCATTACTTCTATTGTGGTTTGCATAAGGCGCAGGCAGAAGGCGGCGCGAAATGTTGGCTACACCATCAGCGAAGGCGGTGGTATTAACTTTTACCTTTGATTAAGTTATTCGAACAAAGATTGTGTTTAAAAATGTGTTAAAAAAGTGTTCTTGGAAAATTCATTTTAAAAATATAGATTTTTGACCTTTTTTTATTGATAGCCCACTGATAAACACCCTTTGTGAAAAACTTGTGTTGATACCTTTTGATATGCCACATATATAATTCCCTAAACACTGAAGAGTTCTATCATTATCGAAAATCTCATAAAAGTATGACCAAAATTTGTTATTAGCTGTTGCTATAAATATAGCTTTTTGTCAAGATTAGATTAAAATTTATTAATAACGAAGCGTTCACCACAAAGATTATTGCAAATGGGAAAATAACAAATAAAATAAGTATACAACCACACTACTTTTATTTTTAGTGAATATTAGTTTGACTAATTTAACACTTGTAATGCTAAATAAATTATAATTATAAAATTTAGTTATTTTGATTATTTAGGTAATACATTTTATAACAAATCTAAAAAGTAAAAACGAAATAGTTTTTTATTATAAGTTTTATGACAAATGTAAAAAGTACTGAAAGGGGATTTTTCTTGTGATGTATTGCCCAGTTTAATCAAAATTGCGGGAGCTTATCGCGTTTGGCCTCAAGTGGGCGGCAGTGACTCACAGTTATTGGCTTGACTCGCTTCCTTTACTGATTTGCCAATCTGATTTTTCTCGTTGCAGCGCCCGTGGTGGTGACTTCCGCCACCCACACAGCTCCCGGCGGTTATCCGGTCACCCAGCTGCCTCCGCCGGGTTATCCGGTGGGCAATGCCTACGCAGCACCCGCTCCATATCTCGGCCAGACCAACGGGTAAGTACTGATTGGGATTGGGATTGTGTAAGCAGAAGCTTTACTAACGCTCCCGTTTTTTCCCCACAGCAGCGTAACCGTGCAGATGCCCATGCCGATGCCCCCGCAGAACCAGCAGCAAATGCCGATGCCGATGGCCGGGTAAGTGGAATGCAAAGCTCCAATTAAGGGCAAACATTAATTGATATCTTTCGAATACAACACAGCATGCAGACGCACGGCGTGGCCTATCCCCCGTATCCCGGCCAGGGAGCGGCCAACATGGATCCGCCGACTTACGACGTGGCCATGGCCAATCCGGGACCAAGTGTCATGCCCGCTGGCTACGAGAAGCAGGCGCCCTACAATCCCCACTTTGGCCACTGATTACTTAGTTCGAGGAGCCTCCTGCCCGCATCGATATAGCTTTTGTACTTCAAGAATACATTAGTTTCAATACCTCGTTTTGTAAGCAAAACAAACTCCAATTCCCAACGGCTGAGAGGGGAAAACCAAAGTATCGCACAATAAGTAATTTTTATATATTCCTTGTGATGTATGTGTAACATGTACATATAACTTAAGTGGAACCTTACTTTAATTTATACGCCTACATTAAGAAACTCCAAAAACAAAACAAAACAAAACAAAACAAAAACTAAATGAACGACATGAAGTGTTAATTGTAATAAACCAGCGGAGTGCCCATCAAATACACCTGAAGCGTGTTTGTATGGTTGTGCACTTCCGCAGAAACACGAAAACGAAAACCAGAAGAGCAAACATGTTTTCAATTATTCCCTGCCATCGATTGTTGTTTAAATGTTTAAATGTGTTGCAGAAGATTACGAGTGGCATCATTGCAATCAGGGGTTTTTATGTTGCACTTTTGAATTGGATATGTGGGATTATGGATTTTGTTTATTGGCTTTGTTCGCATTTAGCTGAATTATTGTGTTTGAAACATTGATCTTGTTTACTAATATAGTTTGTCATGTCATATCATTTTTGGGGTATAAAGTAAAATAGGGATTCTTTATCAACTCGGGAAATTTTTTTATTCACTTCTATACCGAAAAACTTCTTCGACTTCCTAAAGTAAAATATAGCTTTTGTAGGAAATAAATTAAACCTGTTTTCAAATGCCTGCATTTCAAATTGATTTCTCACCATATAATTACAAGTTTTCCCGCATCAGATAGCTTTATGAACTTATTTATTATTGTTAAACCAACTGCCACCGGATGTCGCTCCACCTAGCAGCTCTTTTAATAGTTCTTATCAGCCATGCGGCGTTTTCCACGGATTATTGCAACAAGGATCTGTGCCACTCGCAGATAACGCATATCGGGTGTCACAATTATGGAGTGAGTTGGGTTTACTTGCTGATCGATTGTAACTGCCAGAGTTTTCCAGGATTTTGACGAGAGCTGTGGAGATGGGGCGGTTATCATGAAGTTCCCGATGATCCTCCGCTCCCAATTGCTGGCCACCTTGAATGATTTTCGTAATATTTTGGCTTTGGGTCAGTTTCCCTCGTTTCGTCCTGCTGCCAGGATGGCGACCCTCCGGTGGCACGATGAACTGGCCGGATTGGCCAAGTTTGCCTTGAGGCGATGTGACAATATGGATGAGTACTGCAGCAATACGGATGAGTTCAAGTATGTTTCCTATATTTATGGAAGCACCAGATGGGTTCATAAGGAGAAGTCTGCAAGATCTGTGATGGAATTCGTGCTGGAGTTTTGGATGAAGGATATGAAGGGCTGTAATATGGGTCACATAAATGCTGAAAGGCCTCCGAAAGATGGGTGAGTTTTGCTTTTAAGTTGGTTGATATCAATCTAAACTTTTGCTTCTAGGAAATGTCGTGGCTATTTTACCCAACTTGCCCAGGATCTGGCTGCCCATGTTGGATGTGCCATGATTATGCGAAGGAGTCACAGCACCAAAATGTATCAGTATGGAGTTCTGTGCCAGTTCTCCCGGGGAAAGATCGCCAACGAGCTGATTTACCGGGAGAGTCCGCATCCAGGCAGTCGCTGCTATTCCGGAACCCACTCCTCGTATCAGGGTCTCTGCTCCCCCGAGGAGCATGTCAATGCCAATGCATTGCAATTGGGTTCACTTAATTAGATTGGTTATACCTAGAAGTTAAAGTAGATTAAAGCTGTAGTTAAAACATTATTGTCACGCTGACTGGTTGAGATGAAGACTTATTATTCCCTCCTGTTTTTGGTAGCTCAGTTAGCTCTTTCCTTTGGAAATAATACCCTTTGTAGACCCGATCTCTGCATGAATAATGAGGTTCATGTGGGCTGCTTTCATTCCTGGGTAAGAGACTTGAATCTTACCATTCCGTTCTACTTCATTAATATTTTTATAGGATCTTGCCCCCAAATGCGGACAAGGCAATCTCGTTCTGCATGTAAACGGCGAGTTGAAGGACGGCATTCTTGACAGGATCAACAACTTGCGCAACTTTGTGGCAAGTGGCGTGGGTGAGAATCCGGTGGCAGCTCGAATGCCCACGATGATCTGGGATTATAATCTGCAGAGATTGGCTGACAATCAGGTGCGTCAGTGCGACGAAAATGGAAAATACTGCGCCAACACTGAGCGTTATAACTACGTTGTCACCACTCAAATCCGGAGCACGATGACCCGGCACAGTAGTTTGGAGACCCAGATCCTGGATAAATTACTGCCGGAGCTCTTTCTGGATCTTCTGGGCTGCCAGATGAACGAAAGTCTTAGATTTGTTCCCAAGGAAGAAGGGTGAGTGATTTAACTAAGGAGAGATTTTAAGTGCAGAACCGAAACGGTTTGAAGAATTTTTAATACCTACTTATCAAAAATTAAACATTTGAAAAGAAATTATAATTATTTAAAACTCAAAATGTTCCATTTCATAAAAAAAAGATTTTGTATAATTTTAAAATGAGAGAAAATAATTTCTGTTTGAGAAGGCATTTAAAATTTTAAAAATGTATAAACTTTAATGATGTTTTATATGCCTATATATCAGATTGGTTGGATAATAATTATGTTTACAAGTAATATATGGCTATTGAATTATGAATATAATTCAATATATAAATGTGTTGTTGTTTAGGTAGGTGATCTGTTAATAGCTAATGTGTAATAATATAATAGCTAATCCTGTAATTTTCAGAGCCTGCGTTGGCCACTTTGTACCCCTGGTCCAGGATCGAGGAGCTCGGATGGGTTGCGCCATTCGCCTGAAGAGCAGGACCGAATACAAGTCGAATGTGATCCTGCTCTGCCACTTTTCGCGGGCCAGCGTGAATGGTCTGCAGCCTTTCGAAGTGGGCGTGATTCCTGGCGAGAAGTGCGTCTCCGGATCCAGTCAGCTGTACAAGTACCTCTGCAACGAGGCGGAGGCGGTGGATCCCAACAGTATGCAGGTGGACACCCCGAATCCCAGTATCCAAAATGATCTATCATCAAATAGCAGCACAACCACGGATCTAAATATAGCTACCACCCAACCACCCACTGTGCAAAATGAGACTACTACTGAATTACCCATGGTTAAAAATGAAGCTACCACACAACTACCCACGGAGCCAAATAATGTTACTACTCCTGCGGCAAAATAGAACTCCCTAGATAAAAAAACAGATCAATTTTAACTTCATAAATTAATTATATAATATTAAGCTATATTATATATTAAATAAATAACATCCTCTTTTCGTATTAAAAGTTCTTCGACTTTTACTAATTAGTTCTATTGACTTTATTATACTTTACTATATACAATATCTTCAGATGAAATGTCATATTGAATTGATTTTTTTACCATACTACATCCCTTTTATTCTCTGTTTATTTAGCTGTGGTGTCAAATTGATATTTGTAGTATTAATTTGATTTTTTGTACAAAGTTGATTATATCACATTCCAATTATTTACTGTGTAGAAATGTGTGTCCAATTGCCAGCTTGACTAATTACTAGAACCAAGAATGGACTGCCATCGATAGCTCCGCTTGGCCACTAATCGATTTGGGTGGCTCGAACTCTATAAGAGGCAGCCTCGGGTGGTCGGAGCTGGCTAAAGTGGCTGCCTCGTCGAGATGTTGGATCGGTTGCTTCTGCTGCTGCTGATGCTCCTGGGCCGCCAGCTCCAGGCCTTCGACTACTGCGATCCGACTTTGTGTCCCGGACCCGAAAGGCACATAGCCTGCAACAATTTCGGGGTAAGCTAGTTGTGCTTAAAGGTCAAAGGAAGTCCTTTCCTGATGGTAGATCCTTGCAGGAACTGGGTGAAGGATGCAGTCCGGATGCGCATGTGGTGCGGATTACAACGGCCCGTCGGACTATGATCCTCAATGAGTTGAATGAGTACCGCGACAGGATTGCCCGAGGGGATCTGATGGGTTTTAGTCCTGCCACCCGAATGGCCACTTTGCAATGGGATCAGGAGCTGGCCAGTTTTGCTGAGTTGAATGTGAAGCGGTGTGCTTTGGTCAATGACCACTGTAGGAACAGTGAGCAGTTCAGGAATGTGGCTCAAGTGGTGGCCGAAGGGGGTTGGCAGGGGGATCCCTTACCAGCGAGCAATCCCAGTGGAAGTTCCCACCCAGAAACATCAGGACCCGTGGAATACCACACCGAGGATGAGGTGATCAAGGCCACGTTGGAGCAGATGTTCGCCGAGTACAAGGAGTGCAGCATGCGGGATATCATTGCCTTCAGTCCTCCCAGCAACAGGTAGGTGCATCCTAATCCTCTCCAGGAGTTGCTAGCAAAGCTCACCTGACCAGAATCCTCCGCTTGCACGTCAGCAAGTGCATTGCCTACTTCACACAGCTCGTAAGGGACAGCACCACCCACGTGGGCTGCGGCATCCTGCGGCAGACGAGGAACACCACCAACGAGGCGGGCCAGTGGCTGACCAGTGTCCACCAGTACATGACCTGCAACTTCGTCCGGGCGGACGATGTGAATGCCCCAGTCTACCAGAGTGGAGATCGACCTGCCACCGAATGCCGCAGCGGACGCAATCCGGTCTTCATCAACCTGTGCTCCGTCAACGAGATCTACGACTCCTCCAATCTGCAGGGATTCTTCTGAAGTGCGAAAATTGGCAGTTCCACAGAAAATTACTAATTCTAATAAATTAATACCAATTCAACAGAAGCTGGGGTTACCTTAAAGGGTGGGATTAAAAATCAGATTTTAGCTGGAATGAGAGAATTTAAAAATTAAGGGCTTTTAGTTTTTAAAATTAAAAAAAAAAAAACAAATCAGTTTTTACTTTCTTAAAACGTTATTAAACTATTTAAAATCCTATGCTTATCCAGATTTTTTTTTATTTCTGGCTTTCAACTTAAAAAGAAGCAATACATTTTCTGCAAAAAAAACAGATTTTGCAACACACATCTGTAGAATTCTTTCAATAACACCTTTGAATTTAATAATTTTGTAACTATACAACAAGTTTTTATAGGAATTATCAATTTTTTGTTAAAGCCAATTCAATCTATTCCCACATTTCAGTTGTGTCAAATTGCATTTGTAGTATTTTAATTCAATTTTGGTTAAGTACGAGGATTATCAATAACATTTAATTTGTTAAAACATGTAATTTGTTAAAAACATTTAGCATTTAAATCGATTAAGAGCTGTTAGCTCTTTACAAAAGCAAAATTATTTTTTTTAATATCAACAAAGCCATTTAAATCATAAAAAGTATATGTTAGTAGAACCGCAAATGCTTGAAAAAATATAAAATAATATGAAGAGGTGTCATGGAACTCCACGTATTTTTCCAAAGTACCTTAACTGCGAATTACGTTTATTATTCTATTAGCGTTTCCATTTCTTTTGCGTGGCGCCTTCTTTTGAATTATTTGTTCTGCGACAAAGGTTCAAAGTTGAGCCAGTAGAATTGCACTTTAATTCCATCACCATTATTATAATGAACCTGATTCGCCCGACGCCCCTTCGCCTGCAGCGTGGCACTCAAATTGAAATGTGTTTCACCCCCGCACCTTTTTGGCACCTGCCCGTGGGGCTTGCATCCTGCATCCTGCATCCAGCATTCACCATTCTCCATTCTGCAGAATCGCTGTTTTCGCACCTAGGCGACTGCCAGTCAAAGTCACCGGTCGCAAAAAGTTCGTTGACAACTTCAACAAACAAATTTTTTTATCGCGCACTTGCCACACCTTTTCGTTTTTCCTCTTTTTTTCTTTTTTTGTATTTGATTTTAGTTTTTCAATTTTTTTCCCCCTCAAGAGGAAGTGAAAAAATGGCAAACGCAGCGTGAAATACGCAGCAACCGCAAATGGTGCGCAACGAAAAAAGGACCGAAAAAAATATATATCATATTATATATAAAATGTGAATATTCTAGCTAAATACGAAAAACTATTATATTTTCTTTTGATATAATGATTTATTCAATTGTGAAATGTGCTCGATTGTGTTCAGAGTTAACGAGTAAAAGGGGAAACGTGCGAGCGTGTGCATATGTCGTGTTGAAGCTATTTAATAAAATATTCCAATTTCGCAACTGGTTCGTTCATCCATAGACTCGCTTGAGGACTGTGAAAAACGTATAAGTTGTGTTGAGTAGATTCTGGAAAAGCTCCAGCGTAATCGGTCGAATATTGCCCAGGAGTATCTGGAAAAAAAGAGACATAAATACGGTAATTTGATTTTTATTTAAAAAGAATTCGTGTGTAAAATCGAGAGGGGTTAAACATTTATTATTATTATTAATATGGCATTGAACCATTTATTCATTATTTTTATAATGAATATTGTCCTAATATTATATGGGTTTGTAAAGGGATTTTAAGGCTATGTATCTCACAAGTTGTATATAAATATATGAGAGCTTTTAAATTGTATTTATGTGAATTTTTGGTTTAAAAATTGTAGATTAAAATTATGGTTTAAATTAATGAATAAAACCTTATGTTTAAGATAATCAATATATAGTTGCAATGAGAATCATTCTAATATTGAGGGATTCAGAAGGTTTAATTCTAACAAATAAAAAATAAATATCTAAGAGTTTTTTTATATTTATTGGTTACCCACCGAAGCAGGTCGCTGGGCCCTCATCATCATGAAAATGATATTTTTGCGTAAAGGAACCTCAAAGGTGAACCACTCCGTCTCGTAGGCTGCACTTGCCACTGCCAAGTTCTGCTCCCTCAGCTCATTTGCATACCAGTATAAAGCAAGTATTTGGGCCAGAATCATGTTTATGTACATGCAAACAATTATCAGCTGACTAGTGCCGCTCACCTACGAAATTCGGATATTCATGAGACGAAGGCAGAAACATTTTGGATATAGTGCTCCTATATACGAGTATACGCACAATTATCAGCATAAATAGCAGGGCACAGAGAAGAGCTGAGAAGGCCATCAGTTCAAAGAGGAACATCATGGTGGTCAACTCGTTGATTTGGTCCATGTACTCGATAATGCTCTGTTGATAGCGAATGCAGGCGAAAATCTCCTCCTTGAGCTGCCGGGAATCGCGGTCTCCATGGGGATAAAGTGTGGCCACTTGCCGCAGGCGGTGTTGCAAAGCCTTGCACCGCACAATCCCGAACATAATCAGGCCCACAATCAGACTTGTATAGGGGATGTACATGCAGCAGCCCATCGGAGTGATGAGCATTTGAAAGACGTACCACATCTCGTAGTAGGGTGTCTCGTACTCATTCAAACCCGGAATTCTGCTGCCAAAGGGGAGAACTTTTAAAAGAAAAGAGATTATAATAAATATATCATAGTCTTTGGGCGCATAAAAACATAACCAAATATTTTCTAAGCTTTGACTTATGTTATTTACTGTAAAAAGTTAATCCAAACACATAAAATAATTTAAATAAGCTGTATAATATATTCAGAAAATTGTATGATGCGGTAAATAAATGACTACTTTAATACATATTATTTATATTTGGTTTATAGGAATTTCATACGACGGGATTTTATAAATATTATATGCTATACTTATTTAAGGTGTTAAGCCGAATAAAAAATATATAAGATGGAAACTGCTTTTTTTTAGAACATAATAATATACATCTTTGAATATAAATAACAAATGACTCACCCCTTTCGTTGGAGGATAAAGGATAGAGGCCAAAACCCATCGAGGTGAGCATGCCAAAGAACAAATTACCCCTGGCCATCAACTGACCCACTCGATTGACTTTTGCCAAAATTTCCGATATATACGAATCGTTCAAATTCACAAGATTGTAGTAGGCATCGGATAGATTCTTGAGCAACGCCACATATTTGTCGTGATCCGCCAGCAGAAGATATGCCCGCAGCACCGTATTGATCCAAAGGACGAGCATATAGGAGTTGCGGATTATCCCGATGAGTCCTTCATTGGTGCTCACCATGTACATAATTTGGGTGAAGATGTGGAAGGATGCCAGTCCGATGCACACATAACGCTTTAGGTTTTTGTCATAGAGAAGAGCCCAGAAACGCAGTATCCTGATGTTCATGTAGATCAACTGAATGTCCTCGAACATAGTTAAGAATTTAAGTAGTAACTTGGGTAAGATTTCTTTTAGAATTCTGAGCCATCCTACTTGGGGTTGACCTTTTATAGATTTTTCGTGGAAGAAAATCATGGAAAGTTACCCTTTTTAAAGGGTGACTAGGACTTTGTACAGAATTTAAAAATGTAATACAAGGAAAAATAGATTTTAATTGGGGAAATTCAAATTTGATGGTCTTTAAAATAAATATTTTCATAAAATATGTTTTAGGATATTTAAATGTTATTCCAAATTTGAAATATATCTTTGTATAACCCTGTACGCATTCTTTAAATAAATACAAATCCTTTATTATGATTTTATTATTTAATTTATTTATATTTGAAATATGTTTTAGGGTATTAAATTACAGTCTCCCATCTTTTGTTTAATTTTTAGAAGCACACGCCTTGCATTGACTCCCAGCTGGACTATTTAAGCGCAATTTCTGCCTAAATTGCCGATGATTTTGCAATATTTTTGCCATTGAATTGTAGATTTTATTTGCTGCATTTCAACTGCCACATATTGATTTCTTTTTGAATTATGAGCGGAGGAGGCAGACGAAGTGGGTGCCAGATATCCTAGCTTATAGCACTTCAATTTATTTTTCATTAAATTAATTTGTACCCCGGTTCCGATTGGCAATTTATCTAATGGGTTTTGTTGATAATTTGACTGCACTTTAGCTGTACATTAAATCGAGATAGTGTAATTAGCATTAAGACTGTATTTACTACTTGCAGATAGATAAACCTTATCAATTTAAGATAGTGCAAACAAAGTGATCGGTTGATAAAGCTATACTTAATTAGAAAGCTTTTCGACAGCTTTTGGTTGCGTAGAATTCTCTTTTAATTCAGTTGTTATTCAGCTCTTGATTTCTGAGGTTCTAATAAGCGGAATATATGACATCATGGATCAGTGGATAATAGTGCTCACTTTGCTTTCTATATTACTTGTTTTGCTCTACAAGTGGTCGGTGGCTAAGTATAACATCTTCAGTGAAAGGGGCGTGGCACACGATAAACCTTGGCCTTTGATTGGTAATATTCCCATCAGGGGAATATTTGGTCGGATTTCGGTGCTGAAGCATATGGCAGAACTGAATTTAAAGTATTCGAATTCACCGGTTTATGGCATTTACGCCCTGAGAGATCCGTACATCTTCGTTCGAGACCCGGAGCTCATCAAGCTGATTGGCATCAAGGAATTCGACCACTTCGTCAATCACCACAATATGCACAACAATATGCAGGAATCGATTCTGTCGAAGAGCCTCATCTCCCTGCGAGATGGTCGATGGCGAGAGATGCGTAATATCCTTACGCCCGCGTTCACTGGCAGCAAAATGCGGATAATGTTCGAGCTGATCCAGTCTTGCAGCGAGGAGGGTGTGCTCCACGTCCTGGAACAATTGCAGCCGTCGAAGGAGGCGGTTATCGACCTGGAAATGAAGGATTACTTCACGCGTTTCGCCAACGATGTGATTGCCACGGTGGCCTTCGGGCTCAGCATCAACTCGTTCAGGCGCAAAGATAACGAGTTCTTTCGGATCGGACAGGCTCTGTCCAGGATTACCCCATGGTCGATGGCCAAGGCCATGCTCCACGCCCTCTTTCCTCGGCTAATGAAGGTAACCATTGTCCGCATTTCGCAGAGGTTTCTATTCCGATTTGGATGCCGGTTCGGTCGGTCCTGCCATTGTTTTCTTATCAGTTGCTTTTGGTTTACCAACGATTAAGGAGGGAAAGTCTTCAAATGGGAGGTGAAACAGATAATTATCAAACTTTGTTAAAGAAAGTCATACTATTACTTGTTATCGTTACTATTTTTATATAATAGTGAAGGTTTGACTAGGTTACAATAGCTTTACTTTCAAAAAAAGTATCAAAGCCAGCAACAAACTCTATAAGTTTTTGCTGGGCTAGGATAATTAAAGTTAGTTGTTAAATTTCTCAATTTTTTTGACCCCATACTAGAATTTTAATTAAAAATCTTGTTTGCAACGGCAGAGCAGCTTATGAGTACAGAATAGTTTATGTACATGTTTAAATTGTTTCAGCAACAATTATTAAATAATTTAAAAAAGTTTAGTAAAATTTAATTAACTTTGTTTTTGCGATGGACATTGTGTATATATCAAGAAGAGTTCATGCGTATCCAATAACTAAAAAAAAAATATTATTATATTGTCTAGTTGCTGAATTTATTTCTCGAACTCCAAACTTCAGAAATATTATAGTGAGTTTAATGACTTATTTATCTTTGAATAGCTTAAATGTAAAATAGATGCTTGTGTCAGTAGAATTAAATTTGACAGAATTTGTTATTGGAAAAATTAAACCTTTTTACTTTCTTTAATTTTATAAAATTTAAAATATATGCAAATAACTAAGGAAATTTTTAAATTTATTATTGAAAAAATAATAGGTACCTTTTTACTTTCTTTACTCTATAAAATTTAAAATATATTTTCAAATAATTAAGTAAATTTTTAATTACTAAGTTCATTTGATCTTTTGTTATTTTTAGATACTACAAATCCAAGTTTTGGACGGCACAAACGTCAATTATTTCACCAGTCTAGTCAACATGACTATGAAGTATAGACAGGAGCACAAGGTTAAAAGACCAGACATGATCCATCTTTTGATGGAGGCAAAGCAGCAAAGGCTCTCGGATCTGAAGAATCAGTCGAAGGACTCCCAATACTATGCTGAGTTCACAGATGAGGATCTTTTGGCTCAGTGTCTGCTTTTCTTTTTTGCTGGATTCGAGATCATCTCTTCATCATTGTGTTTTCTGACCCATGAACTCTGTTTGAATCCCGTTGTGCAGGATAGGCTTTATGAGGAGATCCTGGCTGTTCAAGGGGACCTAAATGGGCAACCCTTGACCTATGATAAGCTTACCAAGATGAAGTATCTGGACATGGTTGTACTAGAAGGTCTTCGTAAATGGCCACCAGCTATTTACACCGATCGTGAATGTTGCCAGGATATCGATTTGTTTGATGACAATGGTGAAAAGTTGTTCTCCGCCCGAAAGGGAGATATCCTGCAAATACCTATCTTTTCCCTGCACCACGATCCTGAGAACTTTGAGGATCCGGAGTCCTTCAATCCCGAGCGTTTCGCAGAGGATCGCGGTGTTGAGCCTCGAGTGTTTCTGCCCTTTGGAGTTGGTCCCCGAAATTGCATTGGCAACCGAATGGCTTTGATGGAGCTCAAGTCTATTGTTTACCAATTGATTTTGAACTTTAAATTACTGCCAGCCGAAAGGACAAGCCGGAATTTACTGGATGACATCAGAGGATACGACATGCATCCCAAAGATGGCTTCTGGTTGAAGTTTAAGTCACGTCAATAAAGTCTCTTGCATCTTAGCCAACTAATCGAGTGCGGCTTTTCAATTAAGTGCAGCCAAACAAAGCATGCAATTAATCAACCACTGGGGGTAATGGAATTATTTAATTAATTTCAGAGGAGTGCACCACAAATGTCACGAGTTAATCGAGAGGCAATCGGAGAAAAAATATGGTGAAGAAGTGCCGCTGACAGCGAGTGCCTGGAAAATCTGGCTTGCTATTTGTCCGGTCCAGTTGACGCCTGAAAAACAGAGAGTCCGGAAAATCGGGAAAATGGGGAGCAGCTGAGCAGCTGAGCAGAGGGTCCAAAAGTTTTTGACATTCTCGTTATTTATGTGCTTTGAGGGTATTTAGGCAAAAGTTTTTCCGTCCGCCTAAGCAGTTAATACGATATTGATTTATTCGCCAGTCAACAGCTGTGAGATAATAAATATTATGCAGCTCGAATATACGTTCATATATATATTTGAAATCTTGTGACTTCTTGTCCGAAGCGAAACTTTCTGTTTTGATTCCCAGATTTGATTTATAAAGCGGCCAGCGATTAAGCTTTGATCCAGCCAGACTTTTGGCCAAGTTTTATAAGCTTAAAGTTGTTGTGGGATGAAAATGCGCCGAGGGTAGAAGTGGGCTAAAGACTTTCCCTCTCTGGGGAAAACAACAAAAGTTTTCCAGGCGCGAGAAAGTTGAACTTTTTCTTTTCGCTTTGCATTTTTGACGCACTGGATAATTATTTTTCTTGCCACTGACGTTCGGAAATTTGTCAAGCGAGATGGAAAAAATTGTTATTGGACAACTGAAATAGAGTTTGAAAAACGTGTTCTCACTCTTTTAAACATTTAAATATAAATGGTTATTGATTGAAAAATTTAATTTAATTTAAGAGAAACATTATGGAGTCTCTTTTACCAATTCCAATGCATGACAAGTTTCTAATTCTTTACTGATAAAAAATGTGAGATAAGAACTACTACATAAACCTCCACTTTATTGTAGAGATAACCTTTTTTTCTGTAAATAGAGGGACAAGATGCGAGTGTCTGGCAAATTGTGCGGAATCTTGCCATTTGTTTGCTACCAAAGCCTGGAAACATGGTAACATGGTAACAACCGAGCCGGCTTGACCATAAGCCGCTCCATTTGCATAATTATTCATTGCGCAGCATTATGAGCATAAATAAAACGATGCCTCACTGCACACACACACATACACCACAAGAAAAACAGGACATGTGAGGATAATGCCTTGTACGGTACAATAAACTCTTGTAAGCGCCTTAGTTTATGCAACGCTTTTTGTTCCTTATTTATTGTAGAGCATTTTTTATGGCCATGCCACAAGTTTCTGCAGCTATTTATGGCCAACATTACACGCTGATGCACTTGCACTCCACTTGCATCCTACTTCAACGGAATACCAATTGAAACAATAATGGAACGGAGGATCCAATCGCAGGGATAGGATAGAACGCATAAAGATTAATATCAAATAAACTCGAGCAAATCACACGCTCCGCATAAAATGCGGGATAACCACAAAAGCTGTCTGCTGCTGGAAATTAAACGCAAAGTTCGACAAAGCCTTAAACTATTCTCATAAAACTGACATCTCGGAATCTCTATGTTCGCTCCAGAATTTTGAGATTGTGTGTGTGTGTGTGTGCCGGGGACAACCTTAACACCGAAATACTCAATTAAATAAAGTTCAGCTCGAAATTGCATTACATTTATGAACGTGAGTGCGTGTCGTCCTGGCGGCAATGTCATTGCATTTCTCGCCAAATCCGCAAGTTGCGCAAACTTTTTCCACAAAAATGTGCGTGTATAAAATCGTGGTTAGACAACCCAGATGTGTTCTCTGAAATCCAGTTCAAGTAGCTTAGCAGTCCACATGGAAAAACTAAAACTAATAACTGCAGGAAATATGTGCGCAATGGAATGGAAAATATGTTATTATTTCAGGCTAATTAAAACTAACAGCTTTGGTGTCGAATTTCACAAAAAAAAAAAAACACTTTCAAAAATATAATTTAGACATTCACACTTTTTAATCTAAATATGAAAAGCTATTAACAACTTAATTGAGTATTTTATCTATTAAATATGAACATCTAGTACATAATTAATTATGCCTAACAGTATCATTTAAAAATTCCTTTTTTATTAGTTTTTTTTTCAATATTCGCTCAATATTTTCTTGCTTTGATATAAGACCCCGAGGTCAATAGATTTTATGCGACATCAAATTCCATGAACTGAAATTTAATTAACATTGAAGCGGCCTAATTGAAATAATTGCATTTAAGGCTTAAAGCCACTTTGAACTAGAGGATGTGGCCGTAACTATTGACAACCTGCTGCCAAAGCAATTAATTTAATTCACAAAATTTCGCCTTTGCATATCGCAGTATCGTATGTAAATATATGTGCATTTGATATATATATTTACAGTAATGTTTCGCAGTTAATATGCAGCCAATTGTTGGCAGTTTGCGGTTTTGCACAAATGCCAAGCTCTCGACGGATTATTGTTCCGTGCTGTTGGCCTTTGCCACTACTTAGCCAAATTGCCCACCGAGAGTCCTGTTCATGGCAGGCCGCATTAAAATTTTATGCAAATAATTCATGTCCTCTCGTGATGTGTGTGCCCAAGTGTGTGTGTGGGTGTATGCTATAGTAGCGATGTGATCCCCGCACTCCATTGATTTAAATTGATGCATGACTTTATTAGGGGAATTATAATCTGAACGTTACAAATTGATGGGTTATTACTCATTCGCTCTAGCGACCATTCGTTTCACAGCTTACATTTAACGAGATTCCCTGGAATATTCCGACTCCAACCAGAAAACAATCTTGTTGCGGATTAGTTCGAGCTCTCTGGGCCATTTTGTCCTTTTATTATTCGCTTATTTTCCCAAGGAGCGGCTATAAATACGCACGCGTTCACATCCCGACATCCCAACATCCCGACATCCTGCGCTTCCGTATTCCGGACTTTTATGACAGCCCAAAAGTGCCTACTTATAAAATCAAAATCATAAAAAATAATGTTAATTTCAATATTGTCTCATTAAATGTGTATAAAACTCCAGCCGGTGAGCATGTGTGTGATGAAAGAAATTTCGTGATGGCCGGATGAAGGTGCGGGGAATTTGTTCATTTAACCTGCCTCAACGTGATGGCCCCAAAGTACAGTGAAGCCACTGGGTTTTAAAGGAGAGAAAATTTAAAAAGCAATTTTGATAAACGATTTTGGAAACTATTTTTTTAATTTTGCATGTGGCTTAGTTAAAATATTTTTCTAAATAATGGTAACTTTTTTATTACGTTTGTTACATTCTTATTAATTAAAGATGTAAACAACCTTATTTTTCTACAACAATAAAATTTTCTTATTTATTAAACATTTTTTTCAGTCGTTAAATTTATTTTTGTGATGATATGTGTTTAAAAACTTATTAAATACAAACTTTTCTCCGATTTACTTACACACCAAATAGAGTAAATTCATTTCTTTTACAAAAAAGGGTTTTTATTTAAAATGAAGTAAAAAAGATTTTGTTTTAAAGATCAATATTTAAATAAATAAACATTTTACACACATGCTTTCTAAATTTGGTATAGAAAGTTGTTCGCAAAAAATTTACTAATTCTTTTTGAAAGACTCTTACAGAATTTTGTGGGTTGACATTATTATTTTTTTTTTTGTCCCACTGTGTTGGATTTTTCTTTTGCAGGAGTGTGGGTGCGTGAAATTTAAATAAAACGTGCGATTGTCGAGCAGCTGTTGCCGTTTCCCCTCCGTGGCAAGGTCCTTTGCCGAAGTAACGGGGCTTTCGGGCGGGGAAATGCTGAGGGACGAAGGACGACGCAAGGATCGACGGGACTGACAGTTGCGAGTCACGCACACACGCAGACAGTTACGCACATACAAATACATACACATACGTATATATATAAACCTGAGCCGGATGCTGCCACACACATACACAAACTCACACACACACAGAGACAGTGACGACGCAGAGCGGTCGGGAAATGTGACAGGATGTCATTTTGCAACGCATCCGAAACATAAACACACGCTTTTCTTTTGTACCCGCTTACATACATATGCGAAAATTATGCTGCTAAAAGGCGGCAAATGTTTGCATTAGTGTCGCTTTTCCTCCCATACTGTTTTCCCATTCGAGGGTAAGTTTTTGGAAAACAAGCGAAACTAGAAAATTTGCATAAGCGCCGCTCGCCGGCGCTGGTTCCATTATCACGAGGTTTGCCTGTGTGTTTGCGTTTAGTTATTTAAAATACACGAAATATTCATAATATGACGCAAATGCGTGTCACATTCGCAAAACTGAAAATTGTGTTCAACGCCTGCGAAACTTGTTGATTTCCGTTGATTTCGGTTTTGTGGTTACTTTGACAGTTGCTCTTTAAATTTATTCAAACGTAACAGGACTGCTTTTATTTATTATTATTATTAATGGCCGTTATTATAAAAGGCCATTAAAATGATATTCAATAAGAACTATTCGAAACCACATGTTTCCAATTAATTATTAAAACGGTAAAGTAAAGAGAGAAGTATTTATCGGCCATTGTTACAAATATTGGCTTTAGTTTCTTTTTAACTTTCTGAATAGCAACTTTTATTACATTTTTGAGGTATTAATATTAACATTTAATTACATGGCTTCAAAATGGATTGTGTTAAGCGAAGTCAAATTCCATTTTGACCCTTTAAACTCATTGATTTGCTCTAACTGAAATTGACCGCCAGCAAACCAAAGTACGCAAATGAAAACACGCAAATTTATAATTAATTCGCAGTTTTATTGGATTTAGTCTCCCTGGGGGCAAAAAAAAATGAAAGATAAATAATAAACAGCGAAAAGCATCAATTTTAATATTACTTATTTTGGCTTTTTACCATTTGACCACACATTCAAATATGCACACAATTAATTTAAATTGTTTTGGTTTGCCCGAATAAAGGTGCCCCATTTGATTGCGTTTGACAGGAG